TCAATGAAATTGTTTTGTTTACTACGTTATTTTTACCATTACAATAACAAGGCACTCGAAGTAATTTGTTAACGGCGAAAATACTTTGAATTGGCCCCCCCACACCCCGCGCCGAAGGCCAAAATATAGAAAAACAATTTCAACCGGTGGATCAGTACTGACTGATCCTCTGGACAATGCTAAGGAGCTTAGGTATCAAGAACAAATAACAAAAAAGTATAGAATAAAATTACTAATTACTTAAGACAAGTTTACAAATGCTTATAGTCGCATTCCAGATTATTATAGGCACACCTCAAGGTTCATTTTGGGGCCATTACTTTTTCAGTAACTGTCGAGTTTTCATGTACGCCGACGACACGTCAGTCTTGGTCTCCGGGAATGACGCGCAGGAGCTGATAAATAATATCTCTGTTGCTGTCGCACAGTTTAATAAGTTTTGCAAGCAAAATCATCTAATCATAAATTTAGAGAAAACAGTTGTGTTTGGATTTAATTGCCAGTACATTAGACCTTTGCATGACTTATCGTTTAATTTCTCTGGAACGTCCTTAGAAAAAAATCAGAGCACAAGATTTCTTGGCTTCTATATTGATGCATCATTGAGGTGTGATCAAGACATAAATAGTGTTGGTAACAAATACATACTAATACTCTTCAATTTCTTACAACATTGTGAACTGGTGGCAAGCTAGTGATGCTGAAAGGGTGTTTGTACCGCAGAAAAGAATACTTAGGCTAATTTTTAAACTTTCTCCGAGACAGTGTTGCAAAGAAATATTTCAGCAACACAAAATAATGACGGTTCCTTGTATATGCCTATTTAAAATACTGCTAGCTAAACACAAAAATAAACATTTACATAAGAAACATATTGATAACCATGGTCACTACGCTCGTAACAAAGAAAATCTCTTAAAGCTTAAACTGAATCGCGTATTTTGTAGAAGATCTTCAGGCTATGTAGGGCCACACTAGTATAATATGCTCCCGTCGAGTTCTACCAAGCAATTTAAGAAACATGTCAATATGCTTCTGACAACCAATGCTTTTTATAGTCGAAGTGAATTCCAAATAAATGCTTGTAATGTTTTATGGCTGTATTTTTATTGTTTGTTATATTCGCATCTTATACGATTGTCCTATATGTATAGCTTTATTGTAAAACATATGCATTTTTCTAGTTCATCTATTTTAAAACCTTTTATTGTTATTTCTTATGACGAAACATCCATTGTAATGGGTTTTGAGAATAAATGATCTATCTATCTATGTGTTGGAAGGCAGATAAATAAGGTTATATAAGCCCTTGTTACTTGTTACTTCTGCAGTGGATTGTTTTTATTTTTTTTTTTTTGAATTTAATTTAAAATTCTGTACATAAGTTTAAGTTCATCCAAAGGCAATACCAGCGTCCAGATCTCTAAATTCTGTATAGTTCCTCCGTGTTAGTTAATGGGTTAAAATTAAATAAACCCTGTAATATTTGATTATTCTATCTTGTTCTGCAATTAAATTTACAACCCCATAGGCTGCCCTAGACTGGAATCCAATACCTGAAGTGTATCACAAAAAAGGGATTGTGTATATTTGCCTTATAAGATAGGTAGTTTCTATTTCTGTACAGGGCACTTGTGTTCAGTCCATCTCAGCTTATTGTCAATTAAAAGTCCGTAGTATTAGTTTTGTCATGGCCAACTAATATTATTGCAATAATCTTAGACAAAAAGACGGGTAAAGATTTAAAAAAATAATTAAAAATCGGTATATAACGTACTTATAGAAATTGTAGGTTCTTGTAAAAATTTTCAGAAAGAATAATAATGTATACGGTGCCATATATCAAAATGTCAGCAAGGCGCCACAAGTACATCTTTTTAAACGTAAGAGGGGTCATGTGATACCTCTTCTTGAAGGTATTTTCAAGTTTTATTCACCTACCAATTTTGAAAACACCATAATCGTCATATACACAAAAAAATGCATTTTTAATGACAATTTAATTTAATACAAATAATAATAATTATTATTGTAAGGTTTCGTGTAAATACAGCATTAGGGAGTGCCAGGTTATGTTAGATTACTTTCGCCTGTCAATGTCAAAACATTTAATCGTTGCATGGGTGAATCAAGTTCATTGAAATGTTTTTTTTTTTTTAATATTTGTTTTTAATATTCGTTTCTATTTAGTATTTAATCGATGTTCTATAGGCAGTTTACAGTTCCTTATTTTGTTAGTAAGTTGAATACTTAGTGTCAATTGGAACTTGTGTTTTGTAAAATTGTTTACGCACGTGTATTAGAGCAAAAAACTGAAGTTCTTTTGATTTACGGCGAATCCAATCTCAATTTACGTGTTTTTTTAAATAAACAATACCCCATCACACGGCAGTAGTTGATGAAATGATGAAACTATTAATTTTTTTAATTGAAGTTAAGTAAAAGAAAATTAATAGAACATTTGCAAGCATTCATTTGACTGTCCTGCAAGAAAAATACTTAAAATGGCGCATTGCTGTCATTTTGACATTTTGATATATTGCCTTTCAAACACATTGTATAGAAACAATTTTCGTATTCCGGGTTACTATAAACAATCACAAGTATGAACTGGCTTAAGAATCTATAGGAGGGGGGCAAGCTTTTTATTATTTTTTGTGGCTTTTAACCATCAAGTCGATTTATTTTTGACTAACTTTAACTACATTTTCCCATTTACAATGTTACATATAATAATTAAAATTATTTAGTACAAAGTACTTAATAAAAAAGCGTTACTGATTGGTAGCTATTTTTCTATCGATTAAATATTTGTTATTGTTGTTGTTTATAATTATAACGAAAAAAAATTTTTGCTTAATTTTTGATGGGGCCTCGTTGGCGCACCCTCCCCTTCTCCTCTTTCAGGTGAGTTAAAACATCTGGCCAATAAAACGTTTAAAAATAACTTTTATTTTTCTGATTTGTTCCTTTCTTCTCTTTTGTAGGGTAATTATTATTATCTACCAATATTAACTTAAATTTAAATTCATTTAACGTTGCTTATTAACTGTCATTATTTTTGAACGCAAACCAATGGGCCAACTGTCAAAAGTTTTTTGTTTTTGGCCCTAACCTCCAAAGGCATCTTATCAAGTTTACAATTTTGTCCATAATTATAAGTTCCTTCAGATTCCCTATAAGCGCAATTGTCAACTTTAAAACAGTGTCCAAATATAGAGCACTAAAACAATGTAAATTTGCTTTGACGCGGATTACTAAACAGGGTGGACAACTTGAAGGTTTAGATAAATTTAGACCTACATACCTCGAATCGTTTCTAAATTAAGATCACTCTAATAAAAATAATGTGACGGTCACTGTTGCCAACCTAATTTGTCACGTGATGAACAAATAATAACTGTTACTTACTCCCTCTCATAGGTTTTTGCTATAACTATAAGGAGTTATAAGATGATATTGTAGTTATAGCTTGTTTGCTAGCGCAAGAGAATAAGAGAATGTAAATTTGCTATGACAAGGATTATCAAACATGGTGGACAACTTGAAGGTTTAGATAAATTTAGACCTACACACCTCGAATCGTTTCTAACTTAGGGCCACTCTAATAAAAATAATGTGACGCTCATTGTTGCCAACCTAATTTGTCAAGTGATGAACAAATAGTAACTGTTACCTTACAGCTTACTGCTATGATTATAAGGAGCTATAAGATGACAGTGTAGTTATAGCTTGTTTCTTAGCACAAGGGAGCGTTAAAATGTCAATTTGAAATGACAGGGATCATTATACAGGGTAGACAAATTGAGGGTTTAGATAAATTGCAATGATAATTTCCAACAAATTCCTTTTTTAATCTACATATCTCGAAACGTATGCCAACAATAGAATTATTAGAATAATAAATATAGTATTAATTATACTTTATTAAAATTAATGCTGCTTTCTTATATATGAATAGATGCATAGAATTACCCAGGATAAAAGCACACTGTAGGGTATTCCCAGTGAAAGCAAAAGGTGCTTTGTTGAATTAATAAAAGAACACAATCCGATAGCTCAAATTTTCAATTTCAAATGGTGTCTGTGTCTATCTGTCCAGTTTTTGTTAAAATGCCGAAAACTAATTTCACTTGGGATGGCACCAATGTGAACTCCGACTGGAATCCTGCAGACGTTTCGCCAAAATCTCACTTGGCATCTTCAATGCTCGTGCTCCGAAAACACTTCGATTGTTTCGGTATGTTAAATCAGTAATTGAATATAATACAGGCTTCAAAATCCTAAAAAAAAAAAAGGTTTTCAGTTTGTGGAGGCAATTTCACTAATTTCGAAAGAGAACCGGATTTGTAATAATTAGAAACCCACTTAATTCGGTAGATGCTGAGCGAGATTTTTCTATTTTTAAAGATATGTTTACGCATAACAAACACAATTTTGTTTTGGGAAACTTTGAATAACAGTTTGTTTATTTACGAAGTTGCTATTATCTCAATATATCCATGGTATGGTACATATTTAATTCTATTATAATTTTTTTATAACCGCAAATAATGTAAGATTTTTTATATTTTGTACTGTATATTTTGCAATTTGCTATGGACCGATGAATAAAAAACTTTTAATAGTTTTTTTTTATGTGGTATGTGGTGTAAGTAAAAAATATAAGATTTCTGAGGAACAGGTTTAATTATGAGGAAATAGAAGAGAAATGGTTCTTAATAACAATATTGAAAAGAAAAATTAAAATTCAAAAAAAGTTGAAGTTAATTTCAACCACGCTCTTACAACTATCAAAATCTAACGCCATTAAATACGACGCCGTTCGTCTTCAAGTATCGCTTTGACAAAAAAAAAGGATAGTAACCGCGGATCGGCCGAAATTACTTTCGATACGCTTTTTTGTTTTGAATCGTAGCCAATCGGAAGCGCTCTTTGAATTGGTGTGGGAGAATGTTGCGACAGGTGCGTGATTAAAGAATTTTTACTAGGCCCGATAAAAAGTCTCGTCTTCCTATAAAAGCTTCGAGGCGCGGGATGAAAACAATAACATTTTGAAAATGAAGGTGTTGATTTTCTACTCGTTGAGCTTGCTCGGTCTATCGGTAAGTTGAAACAGTTTTTGTAAAAATCAAATGCGATTTTTTTTATTTTTATTTTTTTGCGAGGAAAATGGTACTTGAAAATTTTTATTTAAAGCAGAATATTTTCAATTTTTGACATTTTAATATGGCTGGATAGCAAAAAAAAATCACTAAGCTAAGCTTGTTAAGAATATGAAGAAGCTTAGTATTTTGAAATCTCGCTTGCTGAAAATGAACTTGAAATTTGGTGAACAAAACAAATTTCTGAATATGTTTCTTGAAAGAAATTTACCCATTTACTGTAATACTATTTACAAATTTTTTGTTGGTTTGATCAATCGAAGTCGCTCACGTTTACATTAAACATCGAATACTTCTATTAGGGTCCTTCGCCTTGTAAAACTTTACTGCAAACAAAGCATTTGTTCCGCCTCATCCAGTATATAAATCATTTCATTTTATGAAAATTCATTCAATTTTTTTTTTTATTTACTGAAACCACAATGAATTTTATGCATTTGTCAGGGAGGGTAAATATTAGAAAAGTTAAAATAAGTCGCAAAATAATACAAATAGGTATGTGACAGTTATTTTTTTTTAATGTGATTTTCCACTTATTTAAAAAAAAATGTGGAAAGTGTATTTTTAATACTAATACATCTCTAATGCTTCATTGTTCTGTCCATTTAAGTATAAAAGATTTTTTTAAAAATCCATGATATTTGTTGCACCATATCTCCCTAATGGTTGCTTTCTAGTTCAACATTTATATAAAAACCTACTTTAAGATAGTTCAGAAGAAATAATAATATGTCAATAATATACGAAATTTTTCAATATAAAGTGATCCAAATATATTTATTAATTTTCAACACCCTGTAACATTTAATTAAAATTTCGTTACATATATCTTTTACGTCATCTGCGAATAATGCTAATATCTGTGTTATCTGCCTTTACAAATAATGGCACTAGCGTAAAGTGTGAAAACCAGAATTTAAAAAAAAATATATATTGGAAGAACTATTAATTTATTTCATAATTGACTCACCCTGTACATTTGTAAATTAGACCAAAATTGTCAGTCAAGTTCATTGTTCTAAATCAACATTTTCCTTATTCCTTTAACAATTACAGGATTTACTGAATATAAAATAAAATCGCATTATAATGAACTAATTACACAAAAAACAGGGCAATTTTGGAATATTACGCACTGTACAACAATAAATTTCCGCTAGAAAATCACGTGGTTTCTTAATTGCATTTGGCAACCCGTTATACATCCCCAGGCCAGAAACCTAGTTTTTGCTAGTTTTTATTAAAGAAATCTTTCTTATCGCGGCCCAAGTATAGCGAAAAAATAATATTATATAATATTTTGTATCTTCAAAACGAAGACAGATCCACCAATAAAATGGAAGTATGTATTACTATCAAAAATATACATTAACAATAAAATCTAGAGCACATATTGAGATAAAAAAATAATTAAGGTAAAAAAATCCACTGGGCTGCTATCCACTCTTTATGCCGTCTCTTAATGGTTTATTTGACATTTTCGGTTAGTTTGAATATAAGGTACGACTAATTTAATCCAAAATTTATTATCTTAATTGTTCAATGATAAGTTCTAATTCAACAATGCAATTACGAAAAAAATGCAGCAGACGAAAAGTTTCCAATAAACCCAGTTTATGGAAAGTTCTTTTGTTCCATTTCATTTTGAACTCTTTTTTTTTTAATAAAAAGATATACAGAGAACATGATTTTTCCACCATATTTGTAGCGCGATATCTCCCTAACGGTTAGTTTCTGGTCCGACGTTTAAATAACAACCTACTTTACCTTTACGTCAAGCAAGAATCACGCCCTTAGGTTTTCCGCATTTGTTTTGAAACACCCTGTATATACATGCAAAATGCAAGGTGTTTAAAATTAACATCAAATTGAAACAAGTGTGGGAAGAAGTACACAAGTAAAGCAAGCAAAGTAAAATTCCCCCAGAACTTATACAATATTTAATGTGCGAGAATGCTTCGGCATAATAACCTAAATCCTAACCTAGTTGGGTTATTAGAACTTCTCTCAATTTTCTCAATATAATTGATATACTAGTAGATGATGCATAGACTATGTGTGTGTGTGAGAGTGATTGAGTCATTATGTATTACTGTGTTCGTATGTGAATGTTTACGGTAAATTAAAAAATCCAATTTGTTCTGTACTTTAGAGTTAAGTACAGAAAGTTTAAAGTTATCTATTTCTGTCTCTATGGTATATTTTATACGGTTACGTATTGTGGTTACGTCACGGATTCAAATAGGACTGTAGTTGTCGTTTCATGCCAGTGAAACAAGCGACAACACAACCTTTTACTCAGAGAATGCTCATGTATGATCCTTTCTAAATTACCTGAACATTTCGACTAGTGGGATGTCCACGATTAATCCTTGTTTAGCAATAAAAATGTGACCGTAAAGTTTAAAATAATTTTAATCTAAACAAACCATTATACTATTTAATAAATCTTGTTGTATGATAGGATTAACTTGTCTCTGAGCAGAAATAGATTTTTAACTCCAAAAGAAACTAGAATTGCACTGTTGACTATTTCGAATGAATTTTTGATAACATATCTAATTTTAAAGGCAACATGAGGTTCTAAACGTTTTATTAATTTTGTTGAAAGTTTAACTGAAGGTGATGATTCAAAATTATTAGTTGGTATTTTCCTTTGTCATAATATGTTCTAGAGCATCGATAGCTGTTCTGTGCATTTCTTTCTTAATTTTGCACGCGAACCAAAAAGTCTACAGTCCTGCAAATTTGTACTTTCAGGAAGCGGCGTTGGTGACGACCCAGCACGGTCAACTGCAGGGGATGAGGTTCAGCGCCCCGGAGGATCCTCCAGTCTATGCGTACCTGGGGATCCCGTTCGCGGTACCACCTGTGGGAGAGCTAGCGTTCCAGGTAAAACAGTTTTCCTTTGTGGAAAATTTCAAGTTCGCAAAATCGGTTTTAGGAAACGCAAATTCTGGACAAATGGGACGGAATTTTAAACGCCACGAAGGAAGGGAAGTACTGCATAGGCAGCACCTATTTGAACGAACAAGACACCCAGAGCGAGGATTGTCTTTTCTTAAACATATACAGCCCTTCTGAGAACTTATCGGTAAGATTTTGCGTTTTCCGTAGATTTGTTTTGTTTCGCTTGTTTTAAAATGTAAACAAAATTATGGGAAAGAATATTTTTCCACCAAAAAAAAAAAAACGAGAGAAACATAGTTTCAGACACTATTCATAATATAAGTATTGGCAAGTTGATACCAAAGTGGGAAACAATTATATTATTAATTTTAGGGAAAATAAGAAATCAAATTCGAATCAAACGAAATTCCTCAAAATATATGAATTTGACTCAAATGCAAGCACCTTCCACAATAAAACTTCTATCTCGAAAAAAAATGACAACTATAGAAGGACAGAAAAGATGGAGCAGCATTTGGACCCTTTGTAAAGGCTAGTCAATTCATCCCCTTTAGAAGGGTGACCCAATAGAAAAGAATAGAATAAAATTTTGTTGACTAAGCAATTTTACAAGTGCTTTATATCAAATAAAAAAAGAATATAGATAATAAATATTCAATAAAAAATACTTAACAAAGAACACAAACAGTAAAAAACAAATAAAAATGTTTCAAACAAATTTGATAAGCAGGTATTTTAAAATATTCAGATTAAATTAAATTAAATTAAATTAAATATTCTTTCAAACTGTAAAATCAATGATGGAGAAATTATTTTTTAATGTACTTTTTGAAATCTTTAGAATTATGCATATATATTTTTATACATATTTAAATTTGCATTGCCAATATATCTGATGACTGAAGAATAAGGTTTCTGCTATGGTTCTAAGTCACTGAAACAAATTTGACACTATTGGTTGACTCAAACCAAGGCCGTGTATAAGTACTGCATATTTTGAATTTGGTTAGTTAGTACTTGTCAAAACGTTTTCTTGGCAGCTTTCAACTTTTGGCTCAGTACCTGATGGATGTGTGTGTGTTATATTAACTTTACTTCCGCTGCTGTAGCGCCATCTATCCAGTCCGAGTTTACCCTAAACTACTGCGATTAGAAGAAAGAAACCTCCTTTTCATTACAACTACACCGAGATAACTGTCCTCCATGACTAATGTGCATGGAATACAACCAATAAAAACGAAAGTTCTCAGTCGCACCTTTTAGCTAGTTGTTGCCATCTATATACGAGAGCCAAAACTCTTATGTAGTTAGGAAACAGTATGTGCTGCCATCTATACACGAGTGGCTAAACTTTTGTGATTGGGAATCTGTGTGATGTGGTGCCATCTGAAGAATTTAAAGAAAATTAACTACTTGTTCTGAATTTTGTTTATGACTGAAAAATAATTATCGTGAATTGTTAATCTTATAGAAAATTTGATCCTCTACAAAATGGTCTTACGTGGTTTATCGTTTACTAGAACCATTATTTATTAATATTATTTTATAATATTCATAGTCTTTAATAAATATTTTCAATGTATTCATTGAATTAGTTCTGTGTTCAAAAAATATAAATAAATATATCATTTTTTAAATTTAGTTATCCAAATCGACTTTATTACAGTCAGAACATAGTCCTCGATATTCTTTGACAACTTGTAGCAAGTATTAAAACTGTATCTTCGTTTTTCGTCAAACTCTGATTATATTCAGAGACCAGAGCTACTCCACGCTCTGCTGCGTCATTTACAAATGAAGTTCTATTCATTTTCTTTATAACTGTCATCTGAAGCCCACAATGCATTCAACATCAAGGAAAGTCAATGATTTTTGAGAAGCGAAGCTGCTCAAATGCTTTTGTATAATTGAATTGATGTTCTTCTGATCGGCCTCAAAGGTTTATCTTGAATATCTTTGAAATGGTTCGATTCAAAGAAAGAATATTAGAGACCATTGGCTTAATGATCTATTGGTGATAAGATATGATTATTTACATATAAGACTAATTCGAAACTGCAAAACGATAATCAGGACAATGTTTCCATTAATATTAAGAGCTCATACGACTTTCTAGAGGTGACTAGAAACTAGTTTTTTTGTGTCAGATCCAAAAGAAATAATTCTTTATTTTCACCCACCTTAACACCTATTTCCATTTGTCTTAGGTCTCACAAAACCTTCAATTAGTTTGAAAATTAAAACGAATTTCGTTTCCAGGCAAACTATCCGGTCATGGTTTACGTCCACGGTGGTAGATACATCAATGGTAACGCAGGCCCGGCCTTCTTCGACCCGAGTCCCTTGGTAGCCGAAGGTGTCATCGTTGCCATTTTCCAGTACCGGATGGGTCCGTACGGATTTCTATCCACTAAGGACCTCGTGATACCCGGTAACGCGGGCATGAAGGATCAAGTCCTCGCCCTGCGTTGGATCAAGGACAACATCGCCGCGTTCGGTGGTGATCCGGAACAAATCACCCTTTTTGGAGAAAGCGCGGGAGGCAGTGCCTGCGGACTCCACGTGGTGAGCAAAAAATCTGCTGGTAAGCGATTCAAACGACAAGGAATACTTGTACTACGTGTTCATGGCGTCTACAGGATTGTTCAGGGCGGCGATGTGTCAAAGCGCGTCAGCACTGACGCCATTTTCGATACACAGGCACCCGAAGGAATACGCTTACCAGCTCGTCAATCTGATCGATGGCAGCGTATCGGAGGAGACTCACAACAGTTCCCAATTAGTGGAGTTCCTGCGGAACCAGTCGCCAGCTATCATCGTGGACGCTTTTCTCAAGTTGAGCACGATGCTCGAGAAGGAAGACGTGAGTACTTTGTGCTTAAATAACTGTACTTCACACTGGTCAGTGCATCCTCGTATAGAGTCAATATTTTTTCAGATATGTTTTCTACTTCATCTTTAAATGATGACTGTAGTGTTCTAATATCACATACAAAATAATTTTTCGGACATTGTTTAGACGGTAAACTTTACTGAAATGCAGAATAATATTAAAAAGAAAAACCCAAGACTACTTTAAAACAATTACTAAAATTATCTGTCAATGTTTCCTTTTACCCCGGCCACTCTAGGGCAAATGTAAAATATATAACACGAAACAGGTTCAAGAAAATACATTTTTTGAGGGGTATATGTGAATATTAACCTTATGAGCTAGTTATTGGTTATTAGAGAACATGACCTACATGCTTGAATAGTTTATTTGACGTTTATCTTTGAAAACTTATTTCTAATTTATTAGAAAATTTATAGCAATACATTAGGTAAAGAAAACAAATTGACATTGTTGAATAACAAATAACAAAATCAATAAATGAATTCGTGGCACTTCATTTTCAAAATAATTCAATTTTCCCTCGGCTTTCATTTTATTTATGGGAACATTTGGATTATTATTATTATTTGGATTATTTCGTCAAAAGATTTGAGAGCTACTATATCAATGTCACTATCTTCTACAGCACACACGTATCTATACATAGTCGTAATTTTTTACCACCTGATAACTGAGTGGTCTTCAGAGCGATAACTTCTTCATTTTCGTTGGAATCTTCTTCCCAGGCGGTCTCTGAATCACATTTATAGGATTCAATTGAATCATCGTCACTTGAGGAACTCTCTGTTTTATCCTGCCTCTTTTTTTTTCATATCTTTCTTTTTTCCAGGCTTCTTCAGTCTCTTTAGCCTTTCCACTGTCTTTGATGGTACAGTGGTTGATTTTTGTTTTTTTGTCGTTTCTTTTTTATGCGCTTCTTTTAGTTTTTTAAATACTTCTGCTGTAGTAGTCGCCTCTTAACTTGTATGTCCGGTCTTCTAGCTTTTTTCCTCCATTTTTGTAAATGCTTTGTTTTTTTAGGGACAAAATGTCAATGTGTCTTCGCAGAAACAAGTAATACCAATCTCCCCAGGTCTTCGAATAACAAAAGGTGTTGTTATATTGTGAGATAGTAATAATCCTGAATAAAATTTAACAGCTCCTCCTTGGTTGGTTCTGAACATCTATCACATCTTTAATGTCTTTATATCTTTATAGTCTTCTTTTGTATATGCTGGTCCATTTGTATTGCACACATATTTTCGAAGCATCTGAAAAATTTAAAAAAAAAAAAAACGGGTTTACATTTACCTCAAAATGATGTTTACTTTTTCCTTATATTGCAAAATACCTGGGGCACTCTTCAATTATTTTAGAAACAAAAGTGAAACATTTGAAACCAGTAAATAAGGTGAAAACAAAGCCTTAATAACCCTAAATTGTCGGAGTTCCACTTACCTTGATAGTAATTCACGTACAAACACTTTTTAACACTTGTGCTAAACAAAAAAAAAACGAAATTTTTGCAGAGGTTTGAGAAGAAACATGCATCCAAACAAACATGTCAAGACAACGTGATTCCTTAAATACTAGTGGTAGAGGAAATCTCCTTCTCAAAGAGTCGCGAAGTTGCAGTTTGGTGATAAATTTAAACTCATACATTTTATATCTGTTCTCGAAGCCTTAATTGTCTCTAGCCGCCGTTCTCTAAATGAATGAATATCAGTAGAGTACACATAAGTATTCACTGGAGAGGTAAGCAGATGTCCACAAGATGTCACCGTGCTCTCTGGGAACAGAGACAACTGAAGAGCAGATGGTCAATTTATTGACTATTTCCTACATACTCGAAAGTTGCCTCTTGATGTAGTAAAACTTATTATACTCAAATAGAAATCACTTAGTAGTCCCATCATTTCAAACCGTTTGATTCATTAGATAGCTCTGGAGCTTTTCTATGCAACAGTTTAGTATTTCATCTCAAAAATGGTCTCGCGATTCCAGCGGTTCCCGGCCCCAACGATAGAGCAGGAGCACGATGGGGCCTTCTTGTACCAGAACCCATACGAGCTACTGAGCACAGGAGACTTCAATAGGGTACCTTACGTGGCGGGATATACCTCCGAAGAATCGTTATTTTTCATGAACAGTGAGTGCTCAATTATACAGGGCGCGACCTTTAGAAGTTGGGTGATTTCAAAGGAAACGCCATGAAACGCTCAAACCCATATGGGTCGCAGCTTCTTACATAAGAAAAAATTTTCGTTAATTTTGGTTAGTTTGATGTTAAACGCACTTTTTCTGTGCGAATATGAATGTTTATTCATTGTGAGTGGCCTATTAAAAGTTCTGAAGCACTAAAAAAAGAAGCTCGTTCAAATTTGGTGCAGGATTGCCAGATCTACCGAAAATCAACGGCGACATTGTAAATCAAAAATGTTAAAATTCTTGTTATTTTTCATGTGGTCCTTGCTATACCTAATAACTATTTTTCATCTTTGGCAGATCACAATCTAGAACGGTTCAAATTAGATTTGTCTAGAGCTGTCAAATATTGCCATTCCATCATTTGACAACTTATGAAAAATTAAATTTTATGGCCTGTCAAGTTGGAAAATGGCCACTTTTCAACTGTGAATATCTCGAAAACAGTTAGTATTTGGTATAGGAAGTAGTAATAGTTAGTTAGTTTTCGGTAGATTTAGCAACGCTGCACTATCGAAAATATTTTTTAATATGATTTATCACCTGTTATGGCGGCGCACCAAATTCCCTGTTCTAGTTCTCTAGAACTTTTGATAGGCCACCCAACGTGAATCATTCTGTATTATTACGGATTATCGTGTGGCAGCTTTGGATATCGTCACCGCTGAAGCGAAAAAATTGGACACGGAGGAGGGATACATCTTCCCTTACGATTTCGAACCCAGAAACGCTTCGGATGAAAAGGAAATCATCCAATATATCCACGACATGTACCTAAACGGCAGTTCTACTTTCAGCGACAATTTGTACGAGGTGATCAGGGTAAGTCGTAGCTAAAACTACCCTGCGACTAGCGACTTACCTTTTCTCTATCGCAGTATGAAAGTGACGATATGTTCAACCGCGGGGTTATAAAACAGGCAGAATTGCAAGCCAACTACGTCGACGTCTATCTCTATCAGTTTTCTTACTACGGAAACCTCAGCAGGCCACATCTCGATATACCCGGTGAGTTATAGCGCCAATCTACCTCGGGGTAGCTAAATGACACCATCACGCAGGCGCCGAAGGAAAAGCCCAACATGGTGACGAACTGGGGTACCTGTTCAATCGCGAATTCTTCCTTGCCGGTCTCATCCCAACCGAAACGGACTTGGTAATGAAAAGCAGAATGGTGAAACTCTGGACCAACTTCGCTAAATACTTGTAAGTACGGCCTTTCTTCTTTTTTCGCAACTCTGGGCATATTCATCCAGGCCGCTCGCCCATTTCACGCTCTCTTCGAATGTTCATAGGAACCCGACACCGGAACCCGACGACGCGTTACTTCAAAAGGTGCAGTGGCCCAAACTACGAGCCGGGGATTTAAGTTACCTCGATATCAACGTCACGCTGAAGGTCGAAACGAATCCCAAAGCCGACACGTACTCCAAATGGAACACGACATATAACAACTGGAACGAATTGCCTTTTACGACATTCTGATAATAAAAGTTTACTTTTGAATTTGATTTTTTGTCGGAAGTCCAGTCAGCGCGGATAAGAACCGCGTTAAAAAGTTTTAGTTCTGCGCGTCTCTCAGAGATGGCGTCTGGTAATGCTTGAACCGAAGATAATTCCCTCTATTTAATTTTACCAGGAATTTGAAGTGATTGATTTAAAATCGGTGGGGAAATTATTCACTTCCACATAAAGTATCTCTATACAGATAGTCCAGTATAAAATAATGTACAAAGGGTTATCGGAAACTGTAAGAGATACAGCGTAGCTTAACCCATATTATCCCAGGCATAAAAAAAATAAAAAAATACTGTTTTGCTCTGAAATTATTTATTTTGGAGAAAAATATTACATGTGTCAAAGAAAAAATAAAAACTGAAAACAAAAAATACTGGTGCGTAAACGATCCACTGGGAAAAAACATTAAATAATGTTTTGGGGCACATAAGATGTAACGTATAAATTATACATAAATATACAAAAGAAAGGTCAAATTCGACAGAAAGCAACTAAAAGTAGACCAAATAGAACCTGATTTGATACAAAAAAACTTATAATACTTTATGGTGCGCGAGCCCCGGTTTCATTTTGGGTGATATTATACAAATCATAAAGTATGTAAATGCAAATTACAATTATGTAGCTGTAGCAGATTCTACATCTCCTTCGGGTTTTATTAGCATGAACAATCATGAAGTGACCTTAATTATCATAAGGCACTTCATCTATGGCAGGTGCAAAATTTCTTTGAGTGATTGTATTATCAGTTTTTAAAAGTCGCAAGGCAAAGTAAGATTTAAAATTAAATCAATCACTTCGTCATCAAAAAACATAAAAAAAATTTTAAGCGGAGTTTCTCCAGAAGACCTATTTTGTAGTTCCTCACATGATCTAAATTCATCGGATATAGGTGTGTGAGTGTACTCAATCTGATCTTTCTTCCATTTGACTGCCGTTTGCAGAAAGCATACATCTTCTTTTGAATTCCAGGGTTTCATCATCTGGCGGGTCTCATTCAGGTTCAGCCGTATCATTCGGTGTATGTAACTCGAAAGTTCCAACTATATTTTTGCAAGTTATTTTTAGCATAAATTTACAAGGAATGGAATGCTATAATACATAAGAATACATAAATCCAAATAAAACTTACGACTTTCATTTTATTGTCGGAAATGCTATATTTTACGAACTGTAACGTTCACTGCACAAGGCACAAACTATTACTAAAGAATACGCTAATTGTTGGATGTTCATTCTAGATGGACTGACTTGTCTGGACTTGCAATAACAAAGTTTTGTTTCACAGATAAAACCAGTAGTGCATTCAAGCACCAGTAAATATCTTCAAAAATTAAAGCATAATCAATACAGTATTTCCATGTATGTTTTCTGCAATCTAATCTATATGCTACAGACTTAACAAATATCGCAATCCAAAGTAAAAATATTTTTTTTTACTATTTTAGATTAACTTGAAAATGTGATACAAATGTATGTACCGTTTTTATTAACTTTTGAAGTCATATATAATAATAAAATTTTTCTCTCTCTCTCTCTATCTCTCTCTCTCTCTCTCTCTCTTTCTCTTTCTCTCTCTCTCCCTCTCTTAAAAAAGATCAGTCGAATAGCAAAAAAATACGTTAACTGCATACCCCAATATTAAATCGAAACTCTTAGGCTGAAAAAGGAATATGTCCATTTTTAAAAACCACAATATGTTTCTTATAGGATTAAAACAATTCAGGGATATGCGTAAAAGGATTCGGAGATGGCGTACTATGTTGCGCACGGGCAAAGTCAACTTTCATTTTTTTTATGGAACTTTTACATTTTCAAAATCCTCTTTAAAAATGCTTTTGAACCATGTGTAACACATTTAGATTTGGTCAAGAAAAATCCAGAAAAATAACAAAAATAAGATTTCAGCATAGCAGGCTTTGCTTTGCTGTTCTATTTTAAATAATAAGCTGAGCATAAAATTGACTAGAGAAGATCGAGTAAAGAAGTCAGTCCTACATAGGTACCTTTAAAGATTCTTTCCATCTTTAACGCACAAAAGAACGAAGAAAAGAATTTTACAATAAAATTATGCTTGCCAGCGTTTTTCAACAATGGACATTTTCCTTTTTCACCCTGTATCTACCTAAAGGTGTCGATTTAAAATAAAACAAAGATAGATTATTTTTTGCACATACGTACGCTATTTCTCTTCCATTTATGCGACTCTCTTATAGTTCCCAATATCGCCATGGACATTATCTTATACTCGACACTCTGTAGAAAGAAGCCTGTTCACAACTTGAAATATAAGTGTTTTCGTCTGACGCAAAGCCGAATTGAAGAAATCATAGATCGCGTATCATAGATTTTTGGAACAGAAGCATCAAAAATAAGATAAAATTCACGTGCGATCACTTTTTGAAGGATAAACCTTCGACAAAGTCCAGCCGAAATAACCTTTGAAAAACGTATACAGGGATGTCCGATTGGGAACAGAGCAAATATCCCTTTTGTTTTCAAACTTGGAACAGTCCTAAAATTAATTTACATTTGTAGCTTCTTCTTCTTCTTCTTCTAGTGCCTATCCTCTATGGATGTTGGCAATCATGTTGGTCCAAACAATCTTGTTCACAGCCGCCCTGAATAAATACACAGTCGTCATTCCCGTCCACTGCCTGATATTTCTCATTACGAGTCACATGCCCAAAGTACGCCATCTTCTTCACTTCATCACGGTGTTGTCTGTGACATGGTAGGAGTATGCAGCGATAGCACCACATTTCAAAGGCCTCCAAGCGCTTAGATGTAGTATCTGTCAACGTCCAGCCTCAGACTCCGTATAGAAGCGTGGAGAATACATAACCTCTTAGGACCCGCGTTCATATTCAAGTGAATATTACATAGGACTTTTCTGAGTTTTCTGCTTTTTCTATACGGAATTTAATCGCCCGTGTATGATCCCATTCAGGCTAACTACGTACGTTATTTTATCTGTTGTTTCCATCATTTCATTACTGGTCCGAAACCGTTCATATTGCGCCTCATCGCTTTTACTACTTATAAGAATTTTGGTCTTTCTGCAGTTGAGCCTCATACCATACATATCAACGGTCTATCAAACTCTGCAATCCCTCAGCACCATCTTGTCTAATTATTGTATCGTCGCATACCTTAAATTATTGATGGTCCCTCCATTGATCTTAATGCCTTCCTCCGTTTCACTAAGCACTTGTCTAAACATGCATCCCTGGTGTACTCCCCGATTAAGTGCGAGGTTTCGTTGTCTATGGGCACAATCGCTCTCTCTTGAAATCATTTGTGGCGTTGCACCTTGTCAAACGTCTTCTCGACTGTATCAGGACCTGAACAGAAAACAGACCCTCTCGCGTTTCCATTCCACTTCTAACTCCGAAATGACCCCTGCTCATGTTTCTTGGAGCTTTCTGTATATACAAGAGTGGATCATGTTAACTAGGATTTTCAGTACATAACTCATCAGACCTACAATTCGGTAATCAGAGCACCTAGTACAATTTGCTTTCTTAGGAAGGGGAATAAATGTGGAAACCAGTCTGTAGGCAATTCTCCAGTTTCATATATTTTATTAAGTAGTTTAATTTGGGAGTCTTCCGAAAGTTTTATAATCTCTGCCTGAACATTGTCCGTTCCGATTGCTTTATTGTTTTTTAAACGTCTTATTGCGTGTCTCACTTCGTCGAGTGTTATCACCATGGATAGTGATTTCTGTCCGTTGTCCTTCCTCAAACAGCTTCTATCTACTTTTCCAATATTCTTTCGTTGTCAGTTATAAGATTACCTTGTTTGTCTAGGATCCACGCGGTTTGAAAGTGTCATGCTTTCGATCAAAAGGTTCAGTCTCCCTACATTCATTCTGTAACCATTGTTCCTTTGCTTCATTGATCTTCTTGTTGATTTTCTTATTTATTTCTTTAGTTCCTATTAATATATTTTCATATTAATATATAGATAGAGAGATACAAGTAAGTGAGTTGTTACTTGGACTTACTCATAGTAACTAACTTAACCCCGACGGACCTTCGACTGCGTCTCCCTAATCTAAATACATTTTTTATTAAGAAAATATATCGACTGAGTCTTGAAAAAGAAAAGTATTTTATTTAAACAGAATCAAAATTACGTAGATAGTATTAGTTTTTATTAAACAAGATCTCAAATTTTCTCCTCTGCCGCTTATCGCCAATTCTCTGGTGTTGCTTACTCAGTAGCTTGATGGTAGTTTTCTATTTAAACACATTCCAAGTATCTCAGTTCCGACATTTAATTATTATAAACCACAGATTGTCTCCCAGACAACTGGTCTCACTTAATAAGATCCAGTGGAAGGCCTCGTACCGCATTTTAATTCAATTTTTCAAGCAACATGTTTTGAGACAATCAGTCTAAGGCATTGCTAAGAGTAAGATACACTTGTACCAGCGTCCCAGAGTGCCTGGCCTAACTAGGCAATGCATATACAAATATTATTATATCTAAAACATGGTAATGACTCAAACTTTTTTCTCAGTAGGGGAACTATAGATATTGGTATATAAATATTTGGTAAACTAGGTAAGATAGCAAGAGGTGTCAAAATAAATTCTTATTATAATAGAAAGAAAGTTGCTGCCATATTTTTTCGCGAACCACATAACAGACCTAGATGTGTTAACTTTTTGAAGAATGATTTACCTCAACTTTTCCAAGAAGTCGATAACATTGAGATCCAACAAACGTCGTTTCAGCAAGATGGAGCTGTAAATAATCATTACCCACAGGGGTGGATTCATTGCATGGCCTTCTTGATCATGTGACTTAACACCGCCAGATTTTTTGTACGCATATAATACTAGAAGATTTGGAAAATAGGATTCGGACGAGTGGGGAATAACTCCTGCTAAGGAACGTCCATGATAATATACAAAAAAGATTAAGCTTGTGTCAACAAATGTCTAGCCTTTAGCCAGAAATGAATTTTTTGTTTTCCAAAGCACTTTCGAATATTTATGAATATTTGCTTAGATATTATTAACAAAAAATATAAGTTTATAAATACTTTTTTTCATGTTTGGTAATCAGGCAATTGAATTAAATTTAAGCGCTGATTATATTTTCCGTACTACATACGTGTCGGTTTTCTTTTCTTTTGCCCTCGTCGGTACTTCTCAAGTATTTTCGTCGTCAACAAATAACATCTCACTATTTTTGATAAAAAAAAGCAGATTGTCAAAATCTCGTCATGGAGATGAGAGCGATATATTTAGCAATCAATAATTTTAGCTTCTCAAACCTGATTTAATCCGAATACACACATATTTCGCTCCCATTAGAAAAAAATAATTGCCCCACGTACAATTTAAAAATTTAAAAATATGTTTGATTTCGCTTTTACCCAGAATCAGAAATTTCAAATAGTTTTTTATTGCATTTTCGAAATGGAAATAAAATTTTAAACAACATGCACTAATTTTCCCCACACTTACCTATCGTCTTCGGGGCACTTTTAATAGAAATATAGTAATACTAAAATGCCATTTTGTAAATTATCTATACGTGTCGTTATACCTATCTCTTAGTAAATGAATGATTTTTTTATTGTCATTCGGCACCCATTGGAATATACACCGTGTGCCAAATAAAACGACCCACTATACGATCTGGAAACCTATAGGAGATACGAAAAAAAGTTTCGTACAAAAGTTTTTTGGACTCTTCTGAATATTTAAAATATTATATTTTGGGAATTGGGATATGTTTTTTTTTTATATTTTGATTACCCAATATAAAATTGTGTTGTTGCGCTACTGATGCAGGTATTGCAAACAAAATTCAACCGGAGACTAAGGAGATGATGCGCTACTCAATCAGTTTGACAGATGCGCCTCAGCTTATACAGGGTGTCCCAGATATCAATTCTAGGACAAAAAATAAGGTAACTTTCTAATTTATCTTATATTCGAGGTTTAAGACAACACCCATATAAATTCTTGTTGAATTTAAAGCTACCCATATTCGGTCACTTGTTGGCAACATTAGGTATATAACAAAGACATGATACTACTTCTTTTAAAGATATAAGACTCTTTTTTTCGATGTTGCCAGTGATTTCGGGTAGAACCGGCACCATCGCAAAAGCGAAAATATTTTTGAATTGTACGTCAGGGACAATTATGGCCAAGTATCACAATGACGCCTATTTTGTTTGTCCTAAAACTCGTAGCGGACTGTAACTGTAACTCTGAAACCCCGTATGAGATTTTTTTTAATCTCAGCCACTTGAAGTCGCGCGTGGGACAGTGGCTCGATTGCCTAATTAAGGTGTAACTGATAAAATGGTTATAAAAACGGAGAAACGAAACACAAAACGCCACATAGTTTATTATTTCAAAATGAAAGTCTTACTTTTCTACTCGCTGAGCTTGCTCGGTCTAGCGGTAAGTTTCTACGAATTTGCGGCGTTGATTAAACTGTATATCTATTTAAAACGGACAAATATCAAATCTGTTAAAAAATAATGTATTTACTATTAGTCACATTTATATGGTACCTGTAAACTAGAAAGGAACAAACACAACCGTATAAGTCACCACTTACTCAAAAATAACAGGTGCCTTAGCAAAGTATTAGATTTAATTACGTTTAGTTACATACGCATTCTTTCACATATTTGAGCTAAAAAAAATCCGACTTCCAGAGAGCTGCCTTGGTAACTACCCAGCATGGGCAATTGCAAGGGTTTAGGTTTAGCGGCCCCGACGATCCTCCGGTCTACGCCTATCTGGGAATACCCTACGGCGTAGCACCAATAGGTGACCTCAGGTTTCAGGAAACTCAAATATTGGACAAATGGGATGGAGTTTTGAACGCTACAACCGAAGGCAGCTACTGCATTAGTACCGATTTTTTCAGTCAACAGGACAAGCAGAGCGAAGACTGTCTGTTTCTTAATATATACAGCCCGTCCGAGAACCTTTCGGTAAGAGCGTTTTTCCTTTTTTGAGGTTGCGGTTATTTATAAGAGGTTTATAAGAAACCTGCGCTATTGGAACCCCTTTTATAATTTAAGAAATATAAGAAAAATGGTCTCCAGAAATCTCTTAAATTCGAAAAGAATTCCGAAATAGCGGATCTGTTTTGTCGCATGTTTAAAGAAAGACGCCACAAGTGGGTAAAGGAAAGTTAGACGCGAAAACAAATATTATTTTGTTTGGTAGTTGGACCCAGCAAGCAAAAAATAGAGCTTTGCAATGGGTCAAACATTTTCTTTTATAAAAAAATTATCATTAAATATAATTACCGCAACTATGTACCATTTAATTATTTCAAATGTTTATTTTTATAATAATAATTTATATAGTTATTATTCAAATACATTTTTATTTGACACCCGGTACAGTGATGATTGCCATCGTATTTTTTTAAGATTTTGTCTCAAAAAAAATCTAAAATAATTAATCGTGAACCGAGTTGAAACATATTAACTTTCCAAAGCTCAACCAAAATTTAAATTTCAACTAAATATAGAGCATTTAAAATTTGGTAGCTGTTATTAAAAAAAAAAAACGTTTTCTATATCGTATCAGTCCTATAGAAATCTGGTTAAATCATCGTGCTCTAAGTGGTTTTTTAATCGATTTCGATAACTTTTCGAATTCTCGAGATTGAAAACCAGCGATTGGCTATTTTTAAATTATTTTCAGTTGACGTATATATATATATATATATATATATATATATATATATATATATATATATATATATATATATATATATATATATATATATATATATATATATATATATATATATATATATATATATATATATATATATATATATATATATATATATATATATATATATATATTAACGGGCTACTGGTAATGTCCAAAAACACAATATAACGCCAATATAATCGCCCACATCGGCCACAGTAGTGGGAGCAAAAATAAAAAAGATCTGATTGTACTTGGCTATTTATCGTAAACGTCAAGCTTTCGCCCATGAATATAGGCTTCCCCAAGACAACTAAAAACATGAGAAAACATTCCGTCAGACACGAGGATTACATTAATTAATTAAATGATTTGGTAAACTTACACAATCTGCCAAAGATATCAACATCTAACATTCTTCAACACGACAAAAGCGAGGAAAACGTGGCAGTCTGTTTTTTAAAATATAACAATGTATGCCTGCATCTCAGAATAGGAAAATTACAGTTTAAATCATTGTCAAGGATGACGGCTGTCCGAGGCACGGGACCAGAGAATCATTCCTTCATGATATATTCTATGGTATGATTCTCTGGTCCCGTGCCTCGGGCAGCCGTCATCCTAACCAATGGCTGCTTGTCATTTAAACTGTGATTTTCGTATTTTGAGATGCGGGTATACACTTGCTTTTTTAAAAATCAGACTGTTTTAAGTTTTAAGCGAAAGTTTGACGCTTACAATAAATAGCCAATAACTTATAAGCAATCAGTTCTTTTATTTTTGCTCCCTCTACGGTGAGCGATCCCTGCGTTATATTGTCGCCCCGGTATAATATCTAAATTTCTAGAAAAAAAACCGTTTTTCATTAATTACTATTCATTCATTAAAAATCATTTCACTGGCGTTTCAGAGTATAGAAGATTTAAAAATTTGTTTAGATCGAGCAATCAAAAATATATAGGAACCTGTATCATATATCAACTTTTCTGCCATAATAAAACACTTTAAATAGTTTTTCAATAGTTTCCTCAAAACTCTACTTGTTCTGACCTGATAAGTTGAAACAGTCCCGTAAATTGTTTTTTCTTTCCAATAATATTAATAAGAATATTTGTTTCAAATTTGTTATATAAAGTAACAAAATGAAACGATGTCAAATATTAAAATAGTCATCATATTGTACAATTTGACAAACATTTGAAGATGATGTTCGAGGTAATTGAAATTGTCAGCTTTTGTTGCTCTATATATCATCCATTTGTCAACTGAAAGTACCAGTCAGCAAACAATATTATGTATTGTGGTCTACGATTTTCAAAATCAAATAAAATAAAAAAAACAACAAAAAAGAGAGAGAAAACTATTCTGTCTCGCAAGATTAAAATATATATATATAGGGTGTGCCATGCAAAACCGCAGAATATGTAGTAGAGAACCTGGTCTCTTTTTTTGGAATTTTTGACATGTGATTGCTGACATTTTGAGCAAACAATTTTTCACTTCACTATAACCACTTAAACAAAGTAACTGACACTGCGTTTGTCACTCTAGTTTTTTCATATGTTCAAACTATCACCAATCAAATATCGAAAATTCAGAACAAAGATAATATCAATCAAGATTAAGTTCTTCACTTGTCCTAAAATTTCGATCAACAAATCTTTCAAATCTCTAACATTTAAGATCGGTAAAAGATAAAGTTTCTCTCGAGGCAGCAGGTGTTTACAGATTTCGACAAATAACGATCATAGCACTTTCTTCTAACCAAAAAAATTCTAGAGTGCATCGACATCAGCAAACACAACTTGGGCCATTCGTGCAGCAATAAAACCCCCATTTATTCCGCCCCGCCCTAGGTAGGTATTTATTTATTTATGTTATTTAAAACACAGTCCGTCTAACAGACTATATTCTACCTATTACATGACAGCACAGTGTTACAATCAGTTGAAGAAGAAGAAGAAAAACAAAACCCAAAAGCAAAAACAAACAATTACCCTTAAGTCTCTAGGTCATCATAATCCTTCTCGTGTTGTTCCCCTATTACCCTCGTCTTGTTGTTGTTGACATAAAACCAACAGGAAAATATCTAAACTGTGATTATGTTGACAACAAACATCATTTCAACTTTTTACATATTAAATCATGGGAGAATTTTTAATGCAATTTGACGCACTCCAGTGACAACCAAAGGCCAATCCTTCTGTTGTGTATTAACACTCTAAAGGTCTATAACCATGAAAGTTTTAGCTTGTCGACCTGATGAGTTAAAATTCTATCGTCGTCGATTCTCATTTAGACGGAATAAATTTGCAGGCATCATTGACAGGTTCTGAACATCGTCGTTAGTCAGTAGAACTTTCTTCTATTTCATCAATTCATGATAAATGCCACTACATAGTTTTCTCTTGCTGGGCCACTCCAAAAAGCGCTGCGTAATTTATTTATTTATTTTTAGTTATTCTGCAACTGCAACTTCTTTAATTACATTATCTTGCAGTGTGGCAAGAAGCATTCTGGAATATTCGTCAACAGTTTGTAGTCCATTTTGTTACAATTACGTAATAGAAAGCGATCCAACAAAATCATCAACGCTCTTAATTTTCGTTTCAAAAACAAGGACGCCTTCACTCTAATAATGAAAAGTCCAGAAGGAAGACAAGAAGCTGTAAAAGTTTTGTGTGAACTGTATTTTTTTTAATTAACCCTTACACTTTTCGCAACGCACCAGCTTTCAGTATTGCTGCTTTTCCAACTAATTATCCTTCTAACTCTAGCATTATATGTTGCATGAGGAGTATTGACCAGTACTCAGTTGAAGAATACTTTGGGTCGTCTTTTTCTTTCCTTCTTTATAGATTTCTGGTTGTATTCTTGGATTATGCTTCATTTTATGCAATTTTTTTGACAATTTCTTATACAAACATTGTATTGGTCGATTTGGAAAATAAAGATTATTATTCTTATTATTATTATTATTATTATTATTATTATTATTATCATTATCATCATTAAATAAGTACTAATTTAGTAGCCTTTAAAAGACTTAGAGACAGAATTTCTATTACATTCCTCTGAGATTGCTCTTGTGATATTCATCCAGTTTTTTATTTGCCTTTATGGTTATTTTTTTATACTTGCTCTATTAGTATAATTATTTTTATTGTTTCTAATTCGTCTTGCTCTGTAATGGGTCCGCTCCAAGCAGCCGGTTGAGTAACTTTGCTTATATAAATTAATAAATAAATATGCAGGGGCTTAGTTAACGTTTGACAGGCCGGAACTAATTTTCTATTTGGGCCCTCAGTTTTAGACGACGCTCTGAAGAAGCCGGCACTATTTTTGACGAAACATCAGCTAGACAGAATCAACACTAAAAAAAATCCTATAAAAATTGGGACTTCATTTTGTTACTAAATACGCCACTAAAATATTAATATTGAATTTTGGAACACCCTGTGTAGGTTGAAGGCGGTCCAGCGTTAAGACGCAGAGCTTAGACTTGTAATTCTTTGGAATTCCACTCGAAACCCACGGAAATGATGAATGCCAAAAGTAACACTTTTGGTACGCTTAATCTATGCGTAGCAGCATATTGTAGAGTAGCGAGTAAAACAAGGAATCTTTTTACGCTCCCCCAGCTAGTTGTACCAAAAAAAAGAGACCAACTTTACTCCAATCTGAATTAAAGTTTCGAAAATATTTTTATCAGTGGCTTCTCTTTCCTTGTTTCAAAAATATTCTCTGGAATTCCACTGGAATGCCTCAGAATTCCACGTAATTGAAAATACGAAGAATTCCACAGAATTCCGCATAATTCACATGGAATTCCACGTAATTCCATCGGAATTCCTTTATAGTGTATGCCATAATTCCACTATGTTCTACTCCTCGCATTGAACAATAGTTACTACACGCCAGGACATCAATAAATAACTCAAAGGTTTATTATCTATAACAAAATTACAGGCGAACTATCCCGTGATGGCTTACATCCACGGGGGTAATTACATCAACGGTAACGCAGGCCCGGCCTTCTTCGACCCGAGCCCCATAGTAGCCGACGACGTGATAGTCGCCATTTTTCAATACCGCGTGGGTCCGTACGGATTTCTCTCCACCAAGGATCTCGTGATACCGGGCAACGCGGGCCTGAAAGACCAAGTCCTCGCCCTGCGTTGGATCAAGGAGAACATCGCAGCGTTCGGAGGCGACCCGGAGAAAATCACCCTTTTCGGGGAGAGCGCAGGGGGGAGCTCCGCCGGGCTCCACGTCCTCAGTAAAAAATCAACTGGTAGGTTTCGAACAAGAATCGTAAACCTAATAGGATGTCAGCAAGTGCAATGCGAACTCTCTCTCTGGCTGTGACGTAAGTGAAGTCCTGTATTGGCGCATTTACTACGTAAATGCATGGAAATAATTTGAAACTGACCCGAGTTTTGGTTAGTTTTGAGTAGTAGGTTGAGTATTTTGAGTAGATAATATAGCATTTTGTTTGGATAAACCTTATTGATCTAGATAATCCTGCTTCTGTTGGTGGCTTCTGGTTCTTTTTTAAAGTTAAACCTAAAATTTAAATTTTGTGGTGAATTTAATGTGTTACTCAAGACAAAAAACCTAATAACTCATTTTGTAAGTCTCTTTCGTAATCATTTTCAGTAAAATGAACTGAGCAGACATAGCTTTTTATCTGGATTAAGTTTGTCCTCTCTACATTTTCGAGAACTCGCTTTTTCATTAAAATAGATGTCATATATGAAAAGCCAACTTCTGCGTCCTCCGTCCGACAGATCTAACCAAAAAATGCAAATTAGGATCCGGTACAGTTTAGTTTAGATTGTTCCCGAAACCCAAGCATGTCGGGTGTCAAATTGAAGGATTTCGCTCTCAGATTACGAATCAAATTCTCTAATCTTTTAAATTTGAAGATCTTCAAACTATTTTTTTAGTAACGTGTGTTTTTACATTGTGATATTGATTAACATCAATTGAGGAAACAATTTCGTCATAATTTTTTCATTGAAACTGTTTAATTTTATTCCTCACACTTTGGAATAGGTGCTCTCAATTTCCTGACAAATATTTGCTTGTCACAAGACTAACGCAAGTAGAATGAAAAGTCAACTTTTGCGCCCTCTGTTCGCCAGAACTCTCGTTGCGACTAACTAAGGAATGCAAAGTTTCAAGCCATTTAAATGTTGATTAACATCAGTTGAGGAGACCATTTCATCTTATTTTTTGCAACTAAACTTTTGCGTCTAAAACTGTTAAGTTTTATTCATCACCGTTTAGAATAGATACTCCCCATTTTCTGACTATCATCCTACTCATGCACAAATCTTTAAATGTGTTTTTTATAGAAGGTAGTTTTTACCTTGTTATTTTTGTAATATAATAATAATAATTAATGTCTAACAGCCCAACATTTACTTAGGAGACAATTTCATCATAGACTATAAAGTCTAGTCTATTCTCTCCAGTCCAATAATAGTGAAATCATATGATCACTATAACAAAAATGTATGTTAAGTTAATAACTAGGAACGAATAACACAGAAAATGTCAATATCATTGCTCAAGATCTTAATTTTTTTTAGTTTTTAAATCATAATTAATAATGCCTTGGTCAGGTGGTCATTAGGAGTTATATTATCAATTTCATTTGAAAACGACATTGATTGTATTTATTGTATTGTATAATCGCAAGCCTCAATATAAACTATTTCAAATTACTTAGCAAAGGGCAAAATTTGACTGGCAATCTTAGCAGGTATATAATTAATAACAGGTCAAGGTCACCCTCAGTTTAGTAATATGGATTTTTTTATAATTGTAATCTTTTAAATTCTTTTATTACTATGAATAGACTTGATATTCTACTGTTAACAATGAACTTTGATCTGGGAAGTAAAACAAGCCTTAATGTATTCGTGACGTTTGCAGGGTTGTTCAGGGCAGTAATGGCCCAAAGCGGGTCCGCACTCACGCCGTTCTCGATACACAGACATCCGAGAGAGTTCGCTTACCGGCTAGCTAACCAGATTGACAGCAGTATATCCGAGGACACTCACAATAGTTCCCAACTCGCCGCCTTCCTGGGGAACCAGTCCCCGGGTGACATCATAAACGCTTCTCTGGCGCTGACCTCGCTCTTCGAAAAACAAGACGTGAGTAACAAACGAAACGAAAGCGAACAGCACTTAGCTTTAGGTTTAGGTTATTGTGTGTGACCCATCATCCTCTAATTTATGGAACGGCCCATTATCCTTCAGATCCTCAAGCTCGAGGATATCAACCTCTAGTTCTGAAGTTGAGCGTTTCTAGTCCTGGTAATCTTCTGCTCTACAGGCATCTATTAAATTTATTAAAATTGACGGGAATTAGCCAATATTAACTGTGCCGCTGCTCTCAGCTGTTGCTATCAGTGTTAATTTATTTGTGCTCCCTAACAAGGATAGAACCTCTTATGATTTTGGAGAAGCATTTATAACAAAGCCTTCATTACTGCCTGGTTAGCCGAAAGTACACTATTGTTTCTCTGTGTGAGTTGCCTTTCTAGAAGCATTCTTGCTCAGAGCTCGATGACATGGACTTTCGCCTGGAAAATGCTGGGATACGTACCAAAGCAAGTCTTTATCTCCGTCTTTAAATATTTCCGGTCAGTCCTATTTTCTACCCACTATTTTTTGTTTGCTATGTTTATTTTGTAGGTCATTATGCGTTGTATCTGACGGTGGCTCCTTAGCTAGAAATATTTTTTTTATCCAACGATATGTTTGTTTTGTTTCTTCTTCTAACCATCAGAATTCCAGATTACCCTGAAACCGACGATAGAGGTGGAACATGACGGGGCTTTCTTGTCCGAGAATCCCTACGATCTGCTGATCAGCGGAGATTTCTACCAAGTACCATACTTCTCGGGAATCACTTCAGAGGAGTCGCTGTTTTTCTTGGGCAGTAAGTACCTAGTAGTCAGTACCGAATAGCTATACATAGAGCTGTACAGTGTCTCATAATACTATATCTCCCATCTCCCAAATATTTCCTACAGGGTGTTTTATAATAGCCCGGCAATACAAAAAAACATATTTTCAAATGGAACACACTACACAGGGTGTTTACATTAACATTTTTCTATTTCTATTCCTATTCTAATGCTTATATAAAAAACATGGTACTCTAATGGTGTTTTTCAAAAATGAATGACATTTTTTAAATTGAGATTTATTTTTCACTATAAATTATATCTTTACTTTGTGTTCTGTTGCTTACGTTATTGATATTTTTTTTTTCATATTTTGAGCTACACTTTCTGACATTTTGTCCTTGTCGAAGAACGAGGCGATTTTAAAAACGTAATTTATTTTTGATGAAAACTGGAAAAGTAATTTTCAGTAAGAACAATTTTTTCGATGCGTTGTGGGTCTCTGCCAAACAGTCAAGAAAATATCAAATGCCGTTTCAATAAAAATCTCAAAACACCGTTTTTTTTATATAAACGTTTTTTTTTCTTAAAATCATCCAACGAATCACTCTGTATATATTTTTGCACTACGATTACTTGTAATCTATCTACTAATCTAAATTCCTCTATTTCTTTGAGAAAAAAAAGATTCCTGGTATGTCATTGTTTTATACGCCACGTCATGGTGCGTTCTAGCTTTGGACAGTATCAAGGCCGAAGCGGACAGGCTGGACAACGAGGAGGGATACATCTACCCCTACGATTTCGAGCCTAGAAACGCGTCGGATGAAAACGAAATAGTGGATTTTATACGCGGAATGTACCTCAACGGCAGCTCCAATTTCAGCGACGAGTTGTACTCGGTAATCAAGGTGAGTGGTCTGGAATCTTCGTGAGCTACGAAATTCTGTGTTTTTTTTTTTCATTTTTTATTATTTTTCGCAAGTAGTAACAACTCAAACTTGAAATAATGAAGTATCTTCCAAATGTATTCTATTAATAACCACCTGGCTCCGAATGGGCCAGGTGACGTCACCTTCACCCCCGCTTTAGGGTTCTTGACTGAACTAGGTAAAAATCGCATACTCTTCGACAGTATAAAAGCGACGACCTGATCAGCCGGGGCGTAATCAAACATGCGGAGTTGGCGTCTGCATTCGTGGACGTGTACTTCTATCAGTTCTCGTACAACGGAAACCTCAGCAGGACCCACGTCGACCTACCTGGTACGTACGAAACCGGTGAACTGACAAGGGAGGCAAATTTTACGACAAAAAAGTGCTCGTTTATGTAAATGTTAGAAAGGTTAGTCAGTTATGGGGCAGTTTTTTTTCCAAAATGAATGAAAAAGCTTATCGTGCTATGTGAAATAATTAATCAGGAAATCTTCAATCGGACAATTGGGTTTGACTTCTGAAGTAATGACTAACTATTGATTCTCGAAATCCGTTATAGTTAACTTTCTGCCTGTTATCGCTTATTCAACTTTGAACAAGCCGTAGAAAACTTTCTTATTGATCAGAAATTAGTCAGCGTGTGTTTTTCCAGAAATATTATTTCCCAGCACGAACTTGTCATATATGTGTGATATAAAAAAAGCGACACAGGTGGGAAAACTCTCGAAAAAATCTCGAATTGAACTGAGGTGGCTTTTACTTGATGAAAATCCATTTAACAAAGTAAATAAGAACTAAAAGTTCATATTTTCACGGAATTATATATTTTCACATGACAGGTGGTTCGACAACACCGTGTCTTTATCAAATGTAATATTTACTAACTACCTGCTACAATATATACCGAAAATTGACACTAAAACCATAATTAATGTTGTGAGTATTTAAGTTCAATAAAGCTTCTGAAAATAACACAATATTTACAAGTGCAGATAAAGGGAAGACAGTTACAGCAAACACGATCCTACCGAGTTATGTCAAAGACAAGTCAAGGAAGTAATTACTAACTCCACACTATTTAGTGACAAAGACAAGTATTTTTTGCAATTATGAATCCAGAACCGCCGAAATTATATTCTCATATATGCTCATTAGACCAGTCGTGTCTTATGTAACAGCTCCAACAGTTCAACTCTAAACAAAATTAGTAAATATTTTAAAATTCCACACAGATTTTGCAATAAAAAATTCTTTTCAATTAATCAACAAAACTAAAGATATCAAAATCCCTTCTAACGCAACATTATTGTCTTTTGATGTGCAAAACTTATTTCCCGGTATTCCACCTATGGATGTGATAGGTTTAATAGTAGATTTCACAAAAACTCGGAAACTGGGTAACTCATTGGTGAAACAAGATTTATTAGATTGCTTAATAGTATCTTTAGACGAAAATTATTTTGAATTTAATGGAAAGATTTACATCTCTAAGGAAGGTTTGATTATGGGAAACCCACTTAGTCCTTTGTTCGCCGAGATTTTTATGGATAATTTGGAAAATGTCATACTAAAACATCCTTATGGTGGTATAGATACGTGGATGATGTCTTTGCTTGCTTTGTTGGAACGGACAGACAATTGAATTCTTTTTTAAATTACATTAACGCATTACATAATAGTATAAAATTCAATATCGAGATTGAACAGGATAAGTCTATTAATTTTTTAGACATAACTATTACCAAAACGCAAAGCAAATTAGATTTGTCCATTTATCATAAACCTTCACACACGGACACAGTCATACATAACAGCTCAAATCACCCTTATACTCAAAAATGGCTGCATTTCACTTTTTTCTACACAGACTTCTTAATATGCCACTCTCAACAGAAAATTACATCATTAAACAAATTGCACTGAACAACGGCTACAATCCGTCCATTATAGATAAAATAATAAATAAAACACAAATCCAGACAAATACAGAACACGAACAATTCAAAACAATTACATACATAGAAGAACCCAGTGAAAAAGTTTCAAAATATTTTTCCAAATGTGGTTTAAAAATAGCTTTCAGAACCAACAACACAATAGGAAAAGTTTTAAAAAACAATAAAACGGAATTTCCAAAATCTCAAAAATCAGTTGTCTACAAGTTGAAATGCAGGTAGATCCTTCAATAAACGTATTAACATTTATCCGCCATTAACATCAACATGTACGACAAAGAAAACAGTCCCTATTACTATCCTCTTCACTTTCGATAAAATATGCCTCACAAAACCGGTGTTGGTTGCGCTACAGTCTGATAGATGGAGTTCGCTGGCAAACCACAACCAGTAAACTCCATCTTGACGGTCGCTTATCGATGTACGGCCCGTAGGTGCTGAAGGAAAAGCCGTACACAGCGACGAACTCGGTTACCTGTTCAACCGGCAATTTTTCAGCGATCGTATCCCGACCGAAACCGACCTGCTGGTAAAAAGCAGGATGGTCAGGCTATGGACCAACTTTGCTAAATTCCTGTGAGTACCGATAAAAAAATGATCTTGGCTGGTACATTGTTATTGACGAAAACATCTAAATTGTGTAGAAACCCCACTCCCGAAGACGACGAATTGCTGCAGAACTTGAGGTGGCCGACGGCGCAACCAGGCGACCTGCAGTACCTCAACATCAACGCGACGTTGGAAGTTGACTCGAATCCCAAAGGCGACACGTATCCCCAGTGGAATTTCGTCTATGACAGCTGGAACACGGTACCCTTTACTACTTTCTAATTATAAAATACCATTTAAATTTCGAGTTTGATTTACCTGCCCTCCCCCTCAGACGCAATAAGCAATGTTTTTACATACACGCTTGATTGCTTTTACGACATGATCGAAAAAAAATATAAATTATAAACTCTTATGGCAGTAAAGTCAGCCCCGAAAAACTTCAGTTACAATAATTTCCCAAATTTAAGCAGCCTTGTCATAAGAACATAATAGAATGAAATATTTTAAGAGAAAAAAGATATCATCCTTCAAACGGGTTTGAACCCGAGACCTTCCGTGTGGTAACCCACGCCTAGCATACACAGCTACACACCCCGGTTATCAAATAAACTCTAGAGGTCAGTAAATAAGTATTCTATAAAAAAACGAAAAACATTATGTAGGTACATACATATTTTTTTATATAAAAATAGACAACTAATAATCACTAATATAGGTATTAAAAAACGAAAGAAGCTAAACTATCCAAACTAAAAACTTATCCATCTACATAAACTTTACAACATACAAGTAAGAATACATACGTACTTTATAGTTTTTGAGTAAAAAAAATCGAATCTAAACTACCTAAACTAAAAACTCATCTATCTATAAGAACCTAACAACACACAAGCAAAAATATATATTTTTTTGAGGAAAAAAATTCGTTATTTTTGTATGTTTATATGTCGCATAATATCATCAGTTACATTATCAGTAGATCATAAAAAATTTGTAATATTTTAGAATCATAAAGCACTTCAGAATAACTTGGTACTTCGTCCTGTTGAGGATCATTTGGCCGTGTTCGTTGATAACTCCGTTGTTATTAAATTATCATCATTATTTAAGAAGATATCAAGTCTCGTCGAACTTCAAAGTAACGGCAAACTTTGTTAAATATTAAAATTTTTTCAAATAATAGCGTTGTCGAATGATATTTTTTCGAATTTCTCGCCCACCCTGTATAATTGACCAAACCTAAAACTCTCTCGACACAGTTTACGAACATGTTCAAATCAAATTGTCTCATCTTTACCAGTTTGTCATTTATCCCTAATAATTTACCCACTAAAACAGAAATTCTTAGGATGTTTTTGATTTTTTTATTTATCATACATTTTATATTTTTATATTTTATTTATTATATAATTCAAACAATGTTCGAAATAAAGGTTATAGCACTGGACGTTTCGTGGTATATGATTTTTTCCAACAGAGTAAGTGGTTTTGAAGTAAGTACTTGTTTTCTGAAACCATGCAGCACGTGGTAATAGTAAATGACGTCATCGTGTCCAGACTGAGGGCGACAAATGGTGATTTTCAGCGTATGTGACAGACGAACACCGTAAATACCAAAATTTTTACCAATTCGAGTAAGTCCTCTTTCGACAGATGTAAAACGGGTGTGAATTTCTATCCTTCTGCCAAATCTGAAGTCGATAAGTGCAAATTTGAGATACCTGTTAATTTTTTAATATAGCACTTAATATCTTGAACACCCTGTACAACAGGTGAAAACCTTAAATACAAAAGTTTTCGCTGTTTATGCGGGCTATATTGCCACGTAAAATGAACTGACATCCGAAGCACAGTCTGTTTTTTTTAGCCCATTTTCGATAATAGGGGGATCCATTTTGCATTTTTTTTAATTTCGGCGCACCCTATACATTTTTAAGAAATTTTCGTTTAAGAATTTTCGGTAGCGTAAACCCGTTTTTGAGAAATGTTTTTTTTGCTTAGACCATTGGAAACGCGATCTTTATTTTTTTTTTAAATATTTCCCGACCCCCCAACCCCCCCAATTTCAATAAGTTCAGTCAGAGAACTAATGAGGTCGATAGCTTCTACAGTGGAAAATAAAAAAAGATGGCCGCCATTATGCCATCATCGCCATTTCAAACATCTTGTGCACATAGAGGGCTCTCCCAATGGCGGTCCTGTGGAACCAACCGTTTCCGGGATCTGGTATTTTGGTATTTAACCAAGAGTTTTGAGAAATTTCGTTGAAACGCTTAGTGACATAAAACACCATTAAGAGAATTTTTTCATCATTGTTGTTATTGCTTGTCTCAGATTCTCTTAAAATGTAACTGCTCGCCGTTCCGAAGCACAAACAAACTCAATTCAGCTATAACCCTAAAAATGCTTGCAATAAGCTCCCTCTCCAACTCAGATCGATCGCTCGTTCATGAATTTTAAACAAAACTTAAGTAAAACATTTAATTACTTTTTTTCTTTTTTAGGTTTGTATGATTTTTTTTTGGCATGCATTTTATTTTAGTTTATTTAGTTTTAGTGTAGTACGGCCAAAACAACTATTTGATCTCAGATGAATACGAATAAAAATTAACAATAATCACTATCCATGTGATTCAAAATACTAAGAGATTGACGAACTTCTATTTTTTGCTTACACAACTTTTCGTTCAAACGTATCACTCACCGTTATCAATGCAGATTGCAACGTTGTGTGTAAACAAAAAATGAAAACAATGAAAGTTCGACAATCTCATACTATTTTTAATAAATTGTAAGTCTATCTTGAAGCAATCAATATCAATCAATCAATTAGAATACTTTGTTGCATATCCATTTCACAAAAATATACCACATAAGTTGTTCCTAAGCGAATAGTCCCAAAGTAAATACGGACGGACACAGGCCGATGAAAGTAATTTTATTTTTTCGTCTTTTATAACTCACGGACGAAAAATTAGACGGTGTGATCCCACACACACACTTTTTTTTCGATATTTTCAAATTTAACACTTGACAGGGCAGCAGGGTCATTTTATGGTAGTTTCTAACTAAAAAATGAATTATTTCAAGATGTTGAAATTTGGTAAACACTTTTTACCATTCCAGTAAAAGCGTTACAATTCCTGGAGATCATTAATTTATTACCAGATATTTTTATTTCAAAAAGAAATTAGATTTCCAGTTTGTGAAATCAAAGTAGGCTTTGATCGGCAATTCAAAGAATTTAAATCGTAGGAGGCATAGTGCGTTATAATTTTGACACTTATATGATATTCGAAAGGTAATAATTGCGTTTATTTTTTCCTAACAAACGTTCGTGGGAATTAAAAAATCCTCATACGATATATGAAAGGCATTCCCAGAATTCAAGATAAATGTGTGGCAGACATAACAAATAATTATGTACTACCTCTGACTATAGGATACCTTTGTTTGACGGTGCACCACCTAATTTCACTCTAATTGTAAGAAATTATCTTAATTTTTCTCCATGGATTGGCAGAAAAAGTCCGCTTCTTGAGTGGCCGTCACATAGCACGGATTTTAATCCAATGGATTTTTGTTTTTGGGGCTATATTACATCAGGAGTTAACGAAGACCCAATAAACGGTAGCGTAGAACTTGGCATAAATTTAATTTTTTAAAATAAGACGATCTTGTTGTTAAAAGTTTTCTTTCTTTTTCGATATTCACTATTAGTTAGCTTTTATTTTTAATAATAAATTAAGATTTATGTAGAGTTACACAGCTAGTTAAAAATGTGTTTTTTTACCATATTTGCATGTTGGCATTGTACATTACAATGTAATATCTTCTTATTTTATATTTTGGACTATCTCATAATGTACTGTATTATTTAACTGCATCTATGTATAGTTTGATTATATATCTATTTATATATTTATATATATAATGAATCATGTCTACTAGTGCACTAATTCTTTGTAATTTTTTTGTCTACGCTTTGTATTGTCTTTTTTGTCATACCTGCTCTATAGTTGGTAATAACATTTTGGTTAATGTATAGCATCGAACAGAGTAAAGGCAGTTTATAATATACGCTTTAAATTTGACATAAAATTGAATGTTACATATCCATTTCTTACAAATCCGCAACATAGTGACGTTAGTTCATAACCTTTCTTTAGTCGGAGCAGAACGTATTAGTAAGAGAAAGATTTTATGGACAACAACCTTTTATCGAATTGAAATCACTAAAAATGCACATATATCGCTAGACTTTTTCTTATTACTAAGTACTTCCGGAACAAATGCTCCGAATACAAGTATCTGCCCTCATATACAAATTTTATATCTCGGTAACGGTAGATCCTATGGGATCGCCGTTGATAGAGAAATGATCACCGTCGAAAAAAAATTTTTTTTGTCTGTCCATTCTCCGTTCTCAGTACTCGTCTTTTGTTTTTCCTGAATAATTTTCGAACCGTTGGAGCTACAAAATTGAAATTTACCTTCTTTTTAACCCTTCACGGGGCACATAAGCTTATAGGTAATGGCCCTGATCCGGCGCCGGTATCCATCCTTTTTTCGCGATTTTCGACTGTTTTGTGAACCAGAGTACAGAGTAAATTATTAACCGCAAATCAAAAATCGGCCGCATCAAGAGCTGCAAATTTTGTATTTGCAGTTTTCGTCTATCACGTAGGCTGCTCGGGATATTTGAAAAAATCTATATTGAAATCGTTATTTCGGGGGCTGTCAAGACGCGATGACGTCATTGATTATTACAACGCACTGCATGGTTTCAGGAAAAACTTATTTTCTCAAAAATCATTTACAATTTTCAATAAATTCTTGAACCAGGAAACGTGGAAAATCCAGAGCTATGACCACTACCTCGAATACAGATTAAATCATGTACAGAGTGTGTCGCTTATAGGCAAAAAATGTAAAGTATCCTAAAAATCTCCGTTTTCGTGGGTAAATTATTGGCGATAAATAAACAACTGTTACAGATGGGATAATTTTATTTGAACAGAATCGTATCGTGAGAGAGTTTCAGGTTTCGTCAATTATAGGGGACGCGACATATTTGAAAAAATATCATTCGTGCAAATTTTAATATTTATCGATGTTTGCCTTCTTTTTAAAATGAAAATCTGATGCGCGCTATTTGCGACAAACGTGCCCTCGCCCACCGACGATTTTTCGAAAGCAATCTTGTTATTAACATTCCATTTGAGCCTTGTGACTGGGGACCCGGAACCATAGCTGTTGAAATATTTATATCTCGAGAAATTTTCGTCGTAAAAAGCATATCGCGAATTCAAAAAATCCCGATATAAAAAAGTGCGGCTGTTTTTGACGATCTAATCGGCGATCCTATCAACAATACTAAATAAATAACTATCAAAAACAAGATAAAGAACACGCGTGTATTAGTGTCGAAGGTCAAACCCGCCATGGGTTTCCACTTGAAAGAAAATTTCTACAGATTTTTTGTTGCTTTATTCATAAGTAATTTTTCTTAATATATCGAAAAACATTCAAATAAATTCTTTTTTACCATGATAGTAAAGTATATGGAAAAGAAAATGTCAAGGTATGGGAGTCCCAGTACGCGACGACCACTTATACACCCTAAGCTTTGCCGACGACCAGGTGGTCATAGCCCAGGATGAAGACGACTTGAGTTACATGCTCAGAAAGCTGAAAGAGGAATATGAGAAGGTAGGTTTGGAAATAAACTTCGAAAAGACAGAATATCTAACAACAAAAGAAGGGGAAATCGAAGATTTAGAAATAGATGAAAACACAACCGTAAAAGCAACAGACAAATTTATAATATATATATAATAACAAAAGATGGATCAACAGAAGAAGAAATCAAATCTAGACTAGGTCAGGGTAGAACATGTATAAAACAACTGAACTCCATTATATGGAACAAGAAATTAACAAAGAAAACAAAAACAACAATATTTAAGACAATAGTAGAAAGTATAATTACATACGGAGCAGAAACCTGGCTATTGAACAAAAAGAACAAATCTAAAGTAACCGCCGTCGAAATGGAATATTGGAGAAGGTGTTGCCAACGAACACGCATGGATAGAATACGTAACGCAGAAATCAAGAGGCAAATGAATGTAGAAAAAGACTTATTAACTACAATAGCAGAAAAACAGCTTAAATGGTATGGTCATGTCAGACGAAGTGGCGATAGACGGTGGATAAAGAAAATCACAGAGTGGAGCCCTATGGGACGTAGAAAGAGAGGAAGACCCAGAAGATCGTGGAGGGATGAAATTGATGAAGCCATGAAGGAAAGGGGGCTGGAAGACGGAGATTGGAATGACAAAGATGAATGGAGAGTCTGGTTGAGAGAGGGAAAACGGCGCGAGCTGTAACAAACCCCATATAGTAAAGTATATTGCAGAGGAGATCACACTCTATAAGAAACATATTCTTAAAAATTGCTAAAAATACTAAAAAATCGCATCGTAAAATTCTTTTTTATTCGATCCGTGGCCAATTGAAAACGCTCGTTTTGATGGAGTGGAAGCTTAATTCTATTGCCTAATTTATAGAACTGATAAAATGATTCCGAGAGCTATAAAAGCATAGAAACACAAAATCAAAAACAACACTCGTCTATAACAATTTAGAAATGAAGCTGTTGCTTTTGTACTCTCTAAGCATTCTCGGTGCAGCGGTAAGTTTGTAACAATTTAGTTATATGACACATAAACAAAGGCCGCATATAAAGTGAAGTCATAATATAAATTTTTATTAGAGTGATATTAACAGTCAACAATTGAATGATGTATTATTTAACGCTGAGTATAAGGCGGAAACGTTATATAAATTTTAACAATTAACAATTAAATGATGTATAAATCAAAATTTTAAAAAAGAAAATATTTAATTTCTTACAAAAAATATTTCTGTTATCTATAAAATGCTTTTAACATATGAAAATAATTTTTGACAACGTATAATTTTTTCCTTTGCAATGCTAAACAAAAAAAAGTAAAAAGTAAAGAGGCAAACACAACTATTGTAATACATTAAAAATATAGATCCATGTTTGTGGTATATTCTTTTGTCGTGTTTTAATAAAGGCTATTTATTATTATTATTATTATTATTATTATTACTAACATTAATCTTATTAAATAACCAAAAATATTATTCTGTCCATGAAAACAATACATCAATTTTCGAATCGAATGGGAAGATATCTTCTTAGACGTTAAAATTCAGCGTGCTTTTTATGAAGGTGCTTTGGAGTTTTGGTTTTTATTATTTTATAAATAACAAAAACCATAAACAGTAAATGATAAAAAACAAAACATTGTCCTTTTGCGCATGTTCAGGCTTTAAAAGTCAATATAAGTTTGTAAGACATCTTCTGATGCCTACGTCTTAAGAAAAGTAAATCCCAAGCACGAGTTTTGGGCTATTTGTCTTCTTCGTTTGTTAACAAAACATTTCAGTACACTATAAAATTCCTAACTAATTATATACTAAACTGTTATTTACCTCAAGCATGGTGGATTCCAAGTTTAATTGTCTATGCTACGAGGACAGCGCCAAAATTTCCCTGCCTGAATATGAAAAAAACGAAGTAGTGCTACAATTTTTTATTATTTTTCAATATAATCCCCCTTAACTCCAATACGCTTATTACATCTCTTCATTAACAACTCAAGCCCTTTAAAAAATATTCTTTTGGTTTGTCTGCAAAATGAGCTAAAACAGCCTCTTTTAACTCAACTTCGTCGTTAAACCGCGGTCCACGTAAGTTCTTTTTCAAATATCCAAACAAATAATTGTCGCTGGGGACCATATCTGGACTATAGGGAGGATGATCTAGCTGTTGGAACCCACACTCTGAAATGGCAGCTTGCGCAACACCATCAGTATGGACAGGTGCATTATCGTGCAAAAGACGCACGCAGTTTTCCTCGACGTTTTACACGTATGTAGTCTCGCAATTTATGTAACAATGTTGCGTAATACTTACCATTGACAGTGATATTAGTTTCTGTAAAATCTATCAGAAGAATTCCTTCACAATCCCAAAACATCGTGGCCATCACCTTTTTTGTTGACTGGCAGATTCTGAATTTTCTTGGAGGTGCTTCACCCTTACGACGCCACTCCATTGATTCTTTTTTCGATAGAGGGTCATAGTAGAGAACGATAGTTCCATCTATCACAGGCTTCGGTTCCGACCCACAGAGTTTCAAAAAAGATCGCGCACACTCGACACGGCGTTGTTTTTGAATAGCCGAAAGGTTTTTAGGAACCCATCTTGCACTAATCTTATGCATACCTGCATACAGGATTCGACGAACACTTGTATCAGAAAGCTTAGTAATTTCTGAGATTTCCTTGACCTTTAAACGTCAATCACTCAATACAACTTCTTCCACAACCGCAACAATATCTTCCGTTATGACCTCCACTGGTCGACCAGTTCTTGAATCATCTTCAAAGGACTGCTGCCCCATTCGAAAACGTTTTGCTCATTCTTTCACTACAGAATACGAAGGAGAACTTTGGCCGTACTCACCATCCAGCCTTTCTTTAATAATGCTGACCCTTTTTTGTCAAAAACTTTATGACTGCTTGATACTCAATTTGCATTATGTGCGACATTTTTTTGGACACGTCTTGCTTAAAATTCTGTCAATAAAAACTATTTGACGCAAGACTTCAATTTTTTTTTTCACAGCCTACTAAGATATATATTTAAAAGAAGATAAAGTTTTATCATGATACTGAAGCTGCATCTATATCATGTATCATGCATACACATACAGGGTGAGTCAAGCATAGAGTAAAGTGCATTATCTCATTAGTTTCAAAAGTTATAAGAAAGCGGTAAATACAATTAAAGTGTAAATATTTATAAGATGCACAGTTTAAAATTATTTGGTGGCTAAAAAAATCGTGACGAATAAAACATTTTTTTTTAATAGAACAAATTTTTATTGAATAAGTTTTAAAATGGTTTCACTTTTTTTTTATTAGTAACAATATATGCCTAAACTTAATGTAATGTAACTTTAATATTTTTACTTTTATTTTGAAATGGTAGTTTTTACAAAAAAAAGAAAATAGCGCATTATTTTTGATATTAACATTACTCGAAGATAATCCATAAGATTTATACAAAGGAATTTGAATTGGTATATAAATAATTTAGCTTTAGAAAAATCCATACTTAGTTTTTTTTTAATTTACCAACAAAACAATAAATTTTATAAAGTTATTTACTGAGTCGTCGGGTAAAAAATTGTTATAGCAGCAGTCTTACATTGGAAAAGTTAAAATAAATCCCAAAGTATTAAAAATACGTATATGAGAGACTTAACCAAAGTGGTAGGTTTGTGTAAGATGTTTTAGAAAAATTAATTGTATAATTGGTGTGCCCTTTAAGGAAATCGAGATTTTTCAATATGAGTGATCTACCCTTAAAAATAACGAACCAATCGAATTTTTTTTTGCAAGTGTGGAAGCTAGTAATAGAAAAATAAAAATATTAAAAAAATGCATGTTTTATTCGTCGGGCTTCTTTGAGCCACCCTGTACTCTTTAACTATCAATTTATATATAAAAAATTAAGCCCATTGAACCAGTATCGGGTTTCACAACGATAGCGATAAAATCGCTTCAATCTTTGATAGCAAAATTTCGTGTTAGAGCTGAACCAAAACACGGTTTCGGATTACATAGTTTTTTCTACTTTTTCCTCGGTCGAGGTCAAGGTCGCATCCTTCAAATTTCAGAGAGCAGCCCTGGTCACAACCCAACACGGTCAATTGCAAGGGTTTAGGTTTAGCGGCCCCGACGATCCTCTCGTCTACGCCTATTTGGGGATACCCTATGGAGTGCCACCAATTGGGGAACTCAGGTTCCAGGAGACTCAAATATTGGATAAATGGGAGGGAGTTTTGAACGCCACAACGGAAGGCAAGTACTGCATAGGCGACGATTACGCCAGGCAGCCAGAAAAGCAGGGCGAAGACTGCCTGTTTCTAAACGTATACAGCCCTTCCGAAAACATCTCGGTAAGGATATCCTCCCCCTACTAATAAATCTAATAAATAGTATGTGTATTAACTCAATATACGGCAACAAGAAAATAAAAGAAATAAAATTTGAATAAAGATTTAATTGAAAAAGTACTTCACGGGCTTCAAATGTATTTTGAAAAAGAGCTGAAAAAGTCATTCTTTGAGGCTCACTTAAATACAATTTTTATTAAAATTTTTCAAAGAAACTCCCACAGGCTACTGTAATACTATTTACAACACTTCTGGATTCCTCCTGAGTCGGTTTTTGCTGAGTCGAAATTGCTGACGTTTCGCCAATCATCCTGTTGGCTTCTTCAGAGCTTAACTAAAACTGCTTATATATTGTTTGAGGGGGCGGATGACTGATTCCCATATTGGTGACAGGTAAAGATCTGAGTCGCGGTTAATATTGTTAAGTTGCTTATAGATTTCTTTAGATTTTTCGTTAGTTCGTTTTTAGTTTTATCGAATGAAATTGTATAGTCGGTTTCGTGATTGGGTAGTTCAGCTGCTCATGAGTTTATTATGTCTTTGAGCCTAGTGGATATGTTTCGGTCTCTGTATGGCATCTCAAATGGAATTTTGTCCTTGACGAATGGAGTATGTGGTATTTTTAGAGAAGAGATAAATCTGGTTTTGACGTTATGTTTCTTAAGAACTTTTGATATGTGGCCAGTGATATTTTGGATGTGAGGAAGGACAACAGTGGCAAGTATGGGATTGCATTTAATATTGTGGTGAAATTTATTGTCTGATGGAACGCTTAATATCTATAATGTGGAAATTATTAGAGAGAAAAGCAGAGGTAATGTGTTTTACTACTGGGTTTAGTGATTCGGACTGAGATAGTTTTAAATAGTGGTAAATAAAAGAGTTGAGAACCGATGGTTTTAGGACGGTCTGTGTGCGTAGATTTTCTGTATACATATTGACCCAATGTTAGGTTTGATTTTCTATTAACAAGATTTTTGATCAGGAGACCAAACAAAAGTGTCATCGAAGTAGCTTTTCCATAATTTTGATTTTAGATGGAAGGCGTCGCGAGTTTTCTTTTCAAAGGCTTCTTTTTGATGTGAATAAAGCATTTTCAGGTTAAAATAGCCCAAACCGATCCTGCTGGTAGCATATGATCAGTAAATTCTAATCTATTGTCCATTATAACAAGTAAATTATTTGAATTGTTTGGGATATGTAGGTCAATATTCTGTAACAAAAACCAGACGTACATCACTACAGAAAAGAAGGTTCTTTGCTACTCGAGAAAGAATTTTAGCTTCTCTCATTTGACGCTAGAGTACCATTGCAACACCATCCTTCACTCTCCAAAGATAGGTGCATCTCTAAATTGATGGAGCATCTTGCAGAAACCACACCTCATTTCCCTATGCTACTTGTACCAAAAGGATCAACAATAAACACATAGGAAGCGAGAGGAAATAAATCTGTGAGAGCTTGCTATGCTTTACATTTGCAGGGTAACTACCCCATCATGGCTTACATTCATGGCGGCAGATACGTCAACGGCAACGCGGGACCAGCAGCCTTCGACCCGAGCCCCATGGTGGCGGAAGGTGTGATCGTCGCCATTTTCCAATACCGCATGGGTCCTTACGGATTTCTGTCCACCAAAGACCTCGTAGTACCGGGCAATGCGGGCCTGAAGGACCAAGTCCTCGCCCTTCGTTGGATCAAGGACAACATCGCCGCGTTTGGTGGTGATCCGGAACAAATCACCATTTTCGGGGAGAGTGCGGGGGGAAGCGCCTGCGGACTCCACGTGGTCAGCAAAAAATCTGCCGGTAAGTGACCCAAACGACAAGGAGAACTTGCACTATGTGGTTATGGGATCTACAGGTTTGTTCAGGGCTGCGATATGTCAAAGCGCGTCAGCGCTTACGCCATTTTCGATACACAGGCACCCGAAGGAGTACGCTTATCAGCTGGCAAATCTGATCGATGAGAGCGTATCGGAGGAGAATCACGACAGCTCCCAACTGGCAGAGTTCCTGGGAGATCAGTCGCCCGCCACCATCATAAACGCCTCTCTGGTACTGAACAAGATCCTGGAAAAGGAAGACGTAAGTGGTAAAATCCCTCATCATCGCCATTCACCTAAAGACGACGAGCGAGATCTATCCAAATCTTTACCACACTTTGTACCTTTAAATTTAATAACATCTCCTTACCTCATGATGACAGTATCACAAGTAAGACAAATGCATCGTTGAGGGTTGCCGAAACTCTATGGGCCTTTTAGAGGTATATGGAAAATTGAATCCATAGGAGCACTCTCTGTTTATTTCCTTAGTCATCGATATTTCTCAAGCATGCGTCTGGCGAAACAAGAACTTGATCTGTGACCTGTGACTGCACTTCTCGCATCGCTATAAGCCTGTCTATATTGTCACTTATATCTTCCAGTATCGACTGATTGGTTCTCCTCACGGTAGAGAGAATTGTATACAATCTGTTCTAGCACATATTTTGTTCCTTAGCTCTTAGTATTTTTGATTACGTATTTTCATATTTTGGAAAGTCTCAACATCGCACTCTTGGCCAAAGCTTATTTTTCTAACTTCCTCTACACACTCCCTTATGTTGTTTACTGTTGACTCCAGATATATAAATGTGCTTACCCTTTGAAGATCATCAAGCAGATGTTATGCTAATTCACTATCATTAGTTTTGTTTTGGTTCTGTTTATTGTTCTAACAAACTTCTCACTCTTCTGCTCTACCGTGTTTAAGAAAACCGCCCTTCTTCCTCATTTGCAGCAAAGCTATCATCATCAGCATGATGTTAGAGGAATTCAACCCTCCCACTTATCTAAGAAGTTGCTCATTACTGCTTCGCTATAGATGTTAAAAACGCATCAATGTCTGAATACCTAAAATGAGTAAGCATATTTTTATTGAAGCGGTATTTTCCAAGTAATGATTTTTTATTAAGTTGATCGAGAGATCTGGAAAGCCCATTTGGTTAGTCTGCTTATATTCTATAAGGAACATTACTCTCTTGTGTAGCGAAATCATAATCGATGTTGTTCAGTCTTTGGGCCAAATTCCGATATTCCATATTATGGTATTAACTCCATTGTCGCTTAATTTATTAATAATTTTTCATGTGATCTAATCATCACCTGTCGCCTTGTTGTTGCGTTTTACTATTTATTACTATTTTACAGAAAAGTTCCATTTTTATCCTCAATAGCCCATGTTTTTGGCAAAAAATCTCTCGCTATTTCTTCTTACGGGCCATATCTATCTGTGAATGCGGTTTTGTGAAACCAAAACGACCATTTCCATTTCCATTTCAACTGACCTCTATCGAAAATCGCCTAGAGATTTATGTATCACACAGATCACAGATGATATTATTCTGGATGATATTATTACTAGGTGTTACAAATAAATTAAAGCAATACAGTAATACAACAATTGAAATGTCATTCCAGAACTACCTAGCGCCGACGATAGAGGTGGAACACGACAGTGCTTTCTTGTATCAGAGTCCCTACGAACTCCTGAGCAATGGCGACTTCAATCGGGTACCGTACCTCGCGGGACACACATCGGAAGAATCATTGTTTTTCATGTTCAGTGAGTACTCAATAAATAAAAAGAATATGTTCTTGTCTTTACTTTCCTGACTCATATTTACTAATCACGAAAATAAATAACAATGTCTTCTCATTTTTAAGAACCCATTCTAATTTACTTACTTTCCTTACTATAATATTATATATAAGAATATAATCTTATTTATAAGAACATATTTTTCTTTAGTGTTTTATATAAGAATAAAATCCTATCTATAAAATCATATTAATATTTATTTACTTTCTTTATTTCTATTTACTAATCATGTAAATAGATAAGAATATAATCATTGACTTTCTTTACTTCTATTTACTAATAACGAAAATAAATAAGAGTATAACCTTATTTATAAAAACATATTCTTATTTACTTACTTTCCCTACTTCTATTTACCAATCACGTAAATAAATAAGATTATAACCTTATTTGCCTATTTTCATTTACTAATCATGTAAATAGATAAGAATATAAAATTATTTATTAGAATGCATTCTTATTATTTTTACGTGAATAAATTAGAGTGTAATCCCATTTATAAGAACATATTCTTCTATATTTATTTTCATTACTTCTATTTACTAATCATGTAAATAAATAAGAGTATAATTTTATTTATAAGAACATATTCTTATTTATTTACTTTGATTACTTCCATTTATTAATCACGTAAATAAATAAGAGTATAATCTTATTTGTAAGGACATATTCTTATTTATTTACTTTCTTTATTTCTATTTACTAATCATGTAAATAGATAAGAATATAATCATTGCCTTTCTTTACTTCTATTTACTAATTACGAAAATAAATAAGAGTATAATCTTATTTATAAAAACATATTCTTATTTACTTACTTTCCCTAGTTCTATGTACCAATCACGTAAATAAATAAGATTATAACCTTATTTGCTTATTTTCATTTACTAATCATGTAAATAGATAAGAATAAAAAATTATTTATTAGAATGCATTCTTATTATTTTTACGTGAATAAATTAGAGTGTAATCCCATTTATAAGAACATATTCTTCTTTATTTATTTTCATTACTTCTATTTACTAATCATGTAAATAAATAAGAGTATAATTTTATTTATAAGAACATATTCTTATGTATAAGAACATATTCTCCTTTATTTACTTTCATTAGTTCTATTTACCAATCACGTAAATAAATAAGAATATAATCCTATTTATAAGTATATATTCTTATTTATTTACTTGGATTACTTCCATTTATTAATCACGTAAATAAATTAGAGTATAATCTTATTTGTAAGGACATATTCTAATTTATTTACTTTCTTTTTTTCTATTTACTAATAATGTGAATAGATAAGGATATGATCTTATTTATAAGAACATATTCTTATTTATTTACTTTCTTTATTTTTATTTACTAATCATAATATTACTATATTTTAGTATTATAGAACATACACCGATTGCACTGCTACCTCATTAAAAAAAAGGTACCATAAATCATAAAATATCTAAACACCGCCTATAACCCACTCAAAAGGTCCCAAAATAATCAAAAAATAGCAATCAGGGGTTCTTTGGATATAAAACGCAATGTTTCGTTACAGCTTTCGATATCATCAGGGCGGAAGCGAAAAAGCTGGACAACGAGACGGGGTACATTTACCCTTACGACTTTGAGCCCAGAAACAAGTCGGACGAGGCAGAAATCATCCAATATATTCGCGACATGTACCTAAACGATAGTTCCAGCTTTAGCGATGACTTGTACGCGGTGATCAAGGTGAGTCGCTATTTTTTTTTTCAATTATTTATCTCAGCACCAGAAAATATATCTAGGGGTACTATGGTATAACCAAATATATTTTCCAATTAATATATTCTCTCTTTCTTAATGGCGCTCAAGAAAGCCTTTAAATTACTTACACTCCTATACGGTGTCGAAAAGCCCTTTTATTTTATTTTTTCTGCACAATAACGTTCTATTTTACAAACCCCTCTTTCTGTTATTCCAGAAAAATTTTTTCCCACTTGATTTAAATATGTGGAAAGATGATTTTCCAGTTTCATCAGGATTACAACACACAGTTACCATTGAATTTGAAACTGATAGTAACCTCGCATCGTTAGATATTCTCATTACTACAAAATCAGATGTAACATTGGGTCATTGAGTTTACTGAAAACCTACTCAGACCGATCTTAGTGAATTATCGCATCACCATCTGATCCAAAAGTCATTGGTTATCAACTGTTTCATTTAACGTGCGGTAAAACCATCTCAATCCAATCACTGAACCTAGAATTAAAAAAAATTCTCTCTAATTATTTGCTCTCTGGCCCTGTAGACCACCACTTCATTCATCTTTTCATAGTGGTTTCAAATAACTCACCTGCTTTTCTTGTAGCTTATTGTTTTACTTCTCCTGCAGTAATATTTTTTGCATCTCAATTGTCAAAAACAAGAACCGACAAGCATAAAATGCATATTGGTTTCCCATAAACATCAAATCAAAATAAAAAAAAACAATGGGTTGAATTTAAACATGTAAAGTCTGTTCTTTAGGTGTTAAATGTGGAAATACGTACATGTTAGAGAGAGTACAACTTGGCAACTTGGATTGTTATCAAACATTTAACGCCCTCTTTTTCCCTGTCTCTAGGGCGCCAGGTCCCAGACTTTTTGCAGCTACATTTCTACCGTATTCTCATGTACCCCTATAGCTCCACCTGGGTCACTTTTTCACTTTGGGAACTACTACTCTATGGCTTTTTGACATTTCATTTTTTCTCATAGTTTAAAAGCGACGACATGTTCAATCGTGGGGTGAGAAAGCAAGCTGAGTTGCAGGCTCAATACGTGGACGTGTACTTCTATATCAGTTTTCCTACAACGGAAACCCCAGTCGATCGCATCTGAATATACCTGGTGAGTGCGTGACGATCGATTTTCGAAATCAGATACTGACGCATGCGCGTAGGTGCTGAAGGACAAGCGGAGCACAGTGACGAACTGGGTTACCTATTCAATCGCCAATTCTTGAGCGCACGAATCCCTACCGACAACGACCTGCTTGTAAAAAGCAGGATGGTCAGGCTATGGACGAATTTTGCGAAATTTCTGTAAGTACCGTTGGAAAAGTGCTCTTGGTTAGTACATTTTTATCCACCAAAATTATTTAGAGACCCGACCCCAGAAGATGACGACCTTCTCCAGAACTTGAAGTGGCCCAAAGCACAAGCGGGGGACCTGCTGTACCTCAACATCAACGCGACATTGGAAGTTGACTCGAATCCCAAAGGAGAAACGTATTCCAAGTGGAACACCGTGTATAACAACTGGAACACGTTACCTCTTACGACTTTCTAATAATAAACAAAGCAGTTCAATTATGAGTCTCATTTCTCTGCTCTCCTTTTACGATACAATAAGCAGAATTTTTGCTATCGCTAATTATCCGAGTTCCAAATAAAAATCACTGGGTTTCACACCAATATAGAGGAGCTTTGTGAATACTTTTCACAACAGTATAGCCGACATAACATGGTTCTGAGATGAATACTTGATGAAACTTCGCTCATACTATACTATTCGTGGAACGCTACAAGCGTTATATTCAACAGATGGTTCTCAGTCGTTTATCAACGTTCATCATGGATCAGGAACATGTTTATTGCCAATTTTAAGTTTTGGAATGTTTTATCACAATCAGTTGATTATATGGAATATTTATTGATGAACATCATAATTCTATTAACTTGAGAAATATTTGAAGACCTCCAAACTGATTTTAGTCAGCTTTTTATTAGATTAAAATCAAAAACCGGTTAAAATAATTACAAATAGTTTTTAATATGGAGCAAATGAGAACACAACCAACGCCAGTGTCGCAAATATCACTGTCATTTTCGAATCTGATGAGCACCAACATGGAATATATAATTTTTTAGTATACTTAAAGCTATTATTACATCAGTCCGTTGCACAAATGATTGGTTTCATGTACAGATCAATAAACAGGATTAATCGAGAGGTTTTTCAACCAGATTTCTTTTGAAAAATCGTTGGTTGGTGGGACAATTTTGTAGCAAATAGCGCGAATCACCTTTTTATTTAAAAAAAAAGGCGCTCCGCGGATTCTTGTCCTAGAAGGACGCATTGTTTTTCTATCGGGCTCCTGCGGACCACTGTGGAACTTTCGCAAAATCGATGTAATTTTATTGTGAATACACCCTGTATAAAGTGTCCTTCACATCTCGTCCAACTTCAAAGTTAGGGCACACTTCGGTAAATATTGAAATTTTTACTGGTAAATGCAATTTAAAATTATATTTTTTCAATTACTTTGCGTCCCCTGTATTATAGACGAAACCTTAAACTCTCTCTCGACACAGTTTACGATACTGCTCATATCAAATTATCACATCTTTAAAGGTTTTTCATGTATCGCCAATAATTCGCCCACAAAAGCGGAAATTTCTAGATTTTTGTCTATAACTAAAACACCTTGTATATAATCAAAAATATGCATGAAACAAAAGTTATAGCGCCGGGTGTCCCACATATTACGGATGTAAAATTTTTCCGATCGGATTAATAACTTTGGAGGAAAAGCTGTTTTTCTAGATGTCGAAATAACCACAAAAAAAATCAAAAATTAAAAAAAAATACTTCGCATTATGTCATTGTTCCCAATTTAAAGAGTCTAAATGCGGGTCCAGACTTCAACTTCTCTCCCAAGTCTGAAGTCGGTAACTGTAAATTTGGAGTACTTATTATGTTTTTTAATATTGCACGGAATATCGCGAACAACCTGTGCAATACTTAAAAACCATAAATACAAAAGTTCAAGCTGTCTGTATGGGCTATATTGTCATGTAAAAGAAACTGACATCTAAAACACAGATTTCAAATTATTGCCAATTTTCAATACTAGAAGGACCCATTTTTCAGTTTTTTTGAATTTGCGTCGCACCCTATATATTTTTGAAAAATTGTCACCAATAAAAGTTTATGGAGCCGTATCTTCTGCTTCTTCTGCTTGAAGATTTTTTTTGGGCACGTAAACAGTTTTTGAAAAATGATATTTTTTGAACGCACGACTTTTAATTTCTTAAAAATATTTCCTGACCCCACAGCCCCCCCATTTTAAATATGTTCCGTCAAGGGGCAAAGCTGCATATATGTGCCAGATATGAAGTCGATTGCTTCAAAGTTCGGACACTTATCGTGTTTCATAGCAAGGTCCAAAAAACAGTCGAAAAACGCAAAAAAAAGATGGATACCGACCTTGGATCAGGGCCATTTCTAATAAAAATAAATAAGAACTAAAAGTTCAGATTTTCACGAAATTATATATTATGACATGACAATTGTTTCGACAACACCGTGTCTTTATCAAATGTAATATCTACAAACTACCTGCTACTATATGTACCGAAAAATGACCATAAAACCTTAATTAATATTGTTGCGAGAATTTAAGTTCAATAAAGGAGAGGTATTTAAATCTAATTGATCGTTAAGCAATACATTTGAATGTCTCATTTTGTTAATAAATTTAATTTTCTACTTTTTGTGGATGTGTGTAATATATCATAATTGTCGTCAAAAATGTGTTTTAAACGCTCTTATAAGTTCGTTAATGCGTTTCTTGAAGCATCTACCTGTTTGTCCAATATAAATTTTAGGACAAGATCCACTTTTCAACCTGTAGACACCTGATTTTTGGGATTTTGGACATTTCGGATTTATTGTTTTTTAAATATTTTCCTATTGTGTTGTTAGTTCTGAAAGCTATTTTTGACAAATGTTTGGCAACTTTTTGGCTAAGTTCTCCTAAGTATGTAATTGTTTTAAATTGTTCGTGTTCTGTATTTGCTTTCGGATAAATAGAGTTTAATTTTATATGATTATGTATTGAGTTAATGTAATTTAAAAAAGAATTCAATTGTCTGTCCGTTCCAACAAAGCAAGCGAAGATATCGTCCACATATCTATACCACCATAAAAAACTTTTACTTATAGGATGTTCTAGTATGATATTTTCCAAATTATCCATAAAAATCTCGGCTAACAAAGGACTATGTGGGTTTCCCATAATCAAACCTTCTTTAGAGATATAAATCTGTCCATTAAATTCAAAATAATTTTGGTCTAAAAATACTATTAAGCAATCTAATAAATCTTGTTTCACCAATGGGTTAACCTGTTTCCGAGTTAGGGTAAAATCTACTAAATTTATCGCATCCATAGGTGGAATACTGGGAAATAAGTTTTGTACATCAAAAGACAATAGAGTTGTGTTAGAATATCTTTAATTTTGTTGATTAATTCAAAAGAATTATTTATTGCAAATTTTGGTTTAAAATCTGTGTGGAACTTTAAAATATTTACTAATTTTGTAGAGAGTTTAACTGCTGGAGCTGTTACATAAGATACCACTGGTCTAATGGGCATATCTTGTTTGTGTAATTTAACTAAAGAATATAATTTAGGCGGTTGTGGATTCATAATTGTTAAAAAATATTTGTCTTTGTCACTAAATAGTGTGGAGTTAGTAATTACATCCTCGACTTGTCTTTGATATAACTCAGTTGGATCGTGTTTGATACAAGGGAAAAGTTCTGGTTTCAGAAAATTGTTGGTTTTCCATTTCTTATAAGTTTATGTGCCTCGTGAAGGCAAATTTCAATTTTGTAGCTCCAACGGTTCGAGAGGTATTCAGGAAAAACCAAAATTCGAGAACGGAGAACGGACAGACAAAAAAAATATTTTTTTTTTTGACGGTGATCATTTCTGTACCAACGGCGATCCCTTAGGACTTACCGTTATAGAGATATAAAATTTTTATACAAGCGCAGATACTTTCGAATATTCAATTTCATTGATTTTCGAGAGTGACATGACCTTCACAGTATGCCTTGGCATAATGTTCTTGATGCAAGTAGGATTGATGAGAGAATCTCACTTTTCAATGATTATGTACAAAATTTTGCAAACAGCAAACTACTATAGTATATAACTGATAAAAACGATCAAAAAAAAATTTTTTGTTGAGTTTCCGTTCTCATGCGTAAATTATGATTTTAGACATTAAAAAACATTGAAATTTTCATTTTTAGTTCATAAAGTTTGCTTATGTCTATAATTATCTTTAATTTATTTGATAAGCCAAAGATGGCAGCACTTTGACCTGAAAATAAACTGTGTTATTTTTTGTAAGTTGCCGCAAAATTAGAAATAACCGCTCTATTTCAGCAACAATTGTATTTGTGTATTATATAATTAGAAAATGGCATCAAGACAGTGTAAATGTGATGTTTATTCGTTCTGCTTTAATTGTGGTGAATTTAAGAAATTGCCTTGTCAGTCGTGGGACATTTTTTGTAATTATTTTTTCGAAAGATCCAACGGTTTTCGAAAAAATAAAATATTTGTAGAACGATGAAAAACGATTTACGTATTTTTGAAAAATATTTCGCATTTTCCGATTTCATCCAAAGATCGTATTTGGGGATACCACTGAATGAAATCTCAAGTTGGTAGCTGCAAATTTCGCATACTCACAGTATTATTGTGTCGTCGAAACAATTGTCATGTCATAATATATAATTTCGTGAAAATCCGAACTTTTAGTTCTTATTTATTTTGATAAATGGATTTTCATCAAGTAAAAGCCACCTCAGTTCAATTTTTGAAAGAAGCTGAAATTGGTTTCTTGGCTATTTGGTATTTTAAATTACTTCTACGTTGCCGAATATGTTCCCACAACATTTGGTTTTTTAACAAATGTCTGCAAAATAAGGTTGTTCCCAAATACATAAAATTGAAAACCAACAACAGAAGTCCCGCTGCAAAGAAAGCCCAGATCCAAGGCCAAACGAAATGGATGAAGGAAGAACGAAGACACGAGTATAGAAAACGGGATTCAAACAGCATTTATGTAAAGGTAATACATTCTGAATTGTCTCATAGACTTAATCTCATAGAATTTGACACATTTGATTATAAAGTTCGAACAGACATTTCATCTATCATTCATAAAAAGTTTATTAGACAAAAACTAAAGTTAGACAAATTAATTTCTAATTCAAAATTATCTGAAAGCAAGCCAGTTATTACAAAGTACGCCGACCATCAATTTTACAATAGGTTCGTAAACTTAACAAACACAACATTTTCTAAAAATGAAGTTGAATTTCTGGAAAAAGGTTTCAACTTTAACTTACAACACCCGCACATTAATAGAGAATTACACTGTTTAGGAATCGGTTGTGAATTAGCAATTAAGGACATTAACGATTCTAATTTAAACAAACATGTATTAGCGAATATAATAAACTCTCAATTAATAGATAACAACAAAC